CGCAAAGAACATCTGAGTTCCGAGCTAAGCCTACTTCCATTCGACTGGGAAACGCAGCGTTGCCTTTATATACTTGCTGTTGTCTTGGCTGTGAATATATATATATATAATATATATATCTCTCTCTCTCTCTCAAAGTGACAACATGATTCCTCGTACTACTCTCGCCGCACTCTTCTCTTTTTAACACCTTCTGCCTTCCAGTCTGTCCGGTTCACCTGCTATCCTCAGGTTTGCTTTGGATCGGTCACTGTGTGACATGCGCGTAGCCGCAGACCAGTTTCATCGCCTGGTTAGAGCTGCCTGGTCACCCCAGGCTGGAACCTGCTTTTACAGGTATCACCCGTCATCTAGTAAAAGAAAGGTGAATGTTCTCGCCAGGAGAATATCCCCTGAAAGAGGTTATGCGCTCGCCTGCCCCAGCAGGCACCCTCTCCTAGGCGGGCTTCTCCACGGGAGGCTGGCTCTTAGGGTTGGGTGGGTGGGGAAAGAAAAGCAATGAATGCTATTTTGGTTCAACTCCAACTTGAGCCAAAATGATAGCATTCATTGGCTCACTTAAAGATGATACATGCACACCCAAAGCCTGCCAAGCTCAATGCATGAATACATCTCAAAGTGGCAACATGATTCCTCGTGCTACCCTCGCCGCACTCTTCTCTTTTTAGCACCTTCTGCCTTCGAGTCTGTCCGGTTCACTTGCTATCCTCAGGTTTGCTTTGGATCGGTCACTGTGTGACATGCGCGTAGCCGCAGACCAGTTTCATCGCCTGGTCAGAGCTGCCTGGTCACCCCAGGCTGGAACTTGCTTTTACAGGTATATCACCCAACGCACTACTACACCCAAAGCACTAGAGGAATTTAAAGGTGAGGATGACTGCAATGAAAGGCAAATGGAAAAAGATTGTGGGGAGGTACGACGAACAGAAGCAGAAACCATGGCAGCGCCACCGTGGATTATCAAAACCTAATCTACTGATGTCATCTGCCCAATTGCTCTTGCTCTGAACGTATTCCCAGTAACCCTGGGTGCGCAAGGCGAAGAGGGCAAGATGGATTAGGCGACCGAGCTTTGCTAGGTCAGGATTTCTAGAGCGCCCTCTCACCAAGGTCATCACAGCAGCCACATTGTCCAAAAACCCGAGGCCTTGACACTTACGATAAGAGTCAGGCCGTTCGATCAGGGCGTACAGCACCATCGAAAGTTCAAGCTGCGCAATGTGTGTTTCTGCTGGTTGCCAGAGGGTTTGAAGCTCTTCGCAATTGGTCGCAGCAAAACTGAGACGAGTTTGAGATCCGTCCGGTTGGAAAAAGATGAGGTGGAATCCACCAGATCCAGGGTTGTCAGCTTCGACAGCAGCGTCTGATGCCGCCAAAAATCAATGTTGCTGCAAAGCAAAAATTGAAGATTCGCGTTTGGGCTCAAAGCGCATCACTGCTTCGATCACCTCGAAGCATGCTTCAATCTCAGGTGTCACCACTGCTGTCGCCTTCTCTTGGCGAGCTTTGATAGCCATGAGACCACCGTAGCCTACTCGGCCGTAGATGCCCTGCCCCAAGAAGTTGGCAATGTTGTGCAACTTTGAGGCAGTTCCGCGTGTGAACTTCCCAGTTGTTCTGGCGGTGGAGATCATATCTGTGACTTTGTCATGAAGGCGAGCTCGTGCCCAGAACTTGACAAAGCCGGTACTGTTGATGTCGGCCAGATCGTGTGTCAGGCACAGGCAGGTTCCGGTACTCTGCATAGATTGTTTCTTGTCGGCAGCAAAGGGGGAGCCAATCAGAGTGCATAGTTGGTTCACTGCCCATTGGCCTCATCCTTTGGATCTGAGGTCCGTGATTGTAGCGTCGTCGAAGTAGAGGGATACCAAAACTCTGCACAAGCTCCTGGACAGTGCTTCCGCTAACCTGGAGAACCTGTTGAATGAAGTCACCGCCAGGGGGAGGCCGAAGAGCAGACCAGAGTACACCTGGTATGCAGGTGCTTGCCATCCATCGTGGAACCAGAACAGCGCGGAGTCCAAACTCTCTTGCAAAGACATAGGGCAGTAGCGGTACGCTGATGGTAAGTCTTCCTGGCCTGTCTCCCAGGCATCATGAAGGCAGAATTCTTGGATCTCCTCCTCAGACCATAGGTGCATAACCAGGCTGATATGCTAGTGAGCTTGTTGGCATCTCAGGATCGTTCTGATTGCCCACCAGCGTCCCCATTGTCAAGGACATGCTGCTTGCCTGAGCTCTGGGTAATGGCGCGTCTGGGGATCAAATGGTGGGCTTGCCCTGCAACGTGGGAGAGAAAGTGGCGTGCAGAAGCCATTGGCGGCGTCCTCCAATGATGGTTGCAGCCGGAACGCATCATCCTTTCCAGGTTTCAGCTGGTTAAGGATCTTCTGGTTGTGTTCTTCCCAACCCTCCAACACTTCCGGCATGCCAATGCGACGTGCTGGTTGTTGTGGAAAGACCCCATAGGCGTATCCAACTGCTGGCAACCCTTTCACCACTGGCCACTCTGGAGATCGTCGCGTCAGCAGGGCGAACCCCTGGTGGGAATCGCATCTTGTAGCGCCGCCAGAACTGCTGCTTGGTGTCCCTCAACTCGGTCTCCCCGAGCATGGTATCCAAGTCAGACAGGGCAACGATCTTCGAGCGGCCTTGCTCTACCTGGCGGTAGTAAAGACCCACCGCTGCCCATGCACGGCGCACTCGAGCCATCATCAGCAAGGCTTTGTCCCCCAAGCCCAACTTACCTATCCAGGTCTCGATGGCTTGCTCGGATGCCCACAAAAAACAAAATTCTTGGAGGCTCCCTATGCCCAATCGGAGCAAGGCCTCAACCACCCCATCATCCAACCCGAAGTTGTCACCCAACTTTTTAAGGATTTCCTGGGGGTACCCTTTTCCAGTGGGACTTTGCCCGTTTCCATGACACCCCTCTGTCTACTGCCTGCAGGGATCCCTTCCTTGGATTGAAAACTGCGCCTCGGGTCTCCCCCGTATGAGCTGCTCAGCAGGCCTGACACTATCGGTACTTGGCAGGGCTGTCAAAGGGGAAAGGAAAAACTACAAACATTGCTTCGCTGCTAGTTCTCTCTACACTGCGTGAGTTTACCCACATGAGTATGGCACATGTCATGCTGGCTCACCGGATGTGAAGTTGTCTCCCAACCCCATCACACATGCTGAACCTAAGTGGTTTCTGGTCGCCCCAGGAACAAATGCCGTCTCAGACATGAAAACCTAAGAAGATTTACCAGTAAAGAAAAATTCAAGAAACATTTTCCACACTTCACAATGTCACTGCTGCGTCTTGCAGGCAGGATGTAAGCGCTTATCCGAGCCCCGAGCTGATGAATTTGGCTCTCCTTAGCCGGAACGGGCTATGCAGCTAAATCAGCGCTATAGCCAAAAATTCGGCAGGATCAGGTCTATGCCGGCGGCCACCACGAGGTGCTCGGCGGAGGCATTGGTCACAGCAAGGACGCTCCCATGCCAAGGCCTCGAAGACATCTGTGGCGGTGTACGGGTTGACAAGGCGCTTTGCCTTCCCGTCGGCCTGCAAGTGTTGGCACAAGGTCGTGCCGGCTTCCACAATCACATGGGTGCTCGACTTGTCGGTGGCTGCAAAGCCCTGTGGCTCAGGGTGCATGGTGCCTACCACCGTCTCCTGCCGAGCCTTCTGAAGCCACTTGCCCTTCCCTTGGTCCTTGAGCACCTTGTGGAGTTCTGTCCCACGACGTGCTTCGATGTACTTGTTCGCCGTCTCAGTGGATTCACCTGCCAGCAACGCTCGACACAGAGGACCGCCAAGAAAGCACCACGGTGGCGTCCCTTGATGCAGTGGATGAGGACGTTGTCACCATTCCACACTGTGTTCTTGACTGCTGGCCAGACATCAGTCCACTGCTCGGAGCGTTCATAGCTGTATGCTGCTGTTTCAGGTCCATGTGGGAAGCAGCAGATCTGCAGGGCCATTGTTGGGAACTTGCGCACCGTCTGCTGGATTGGCAGGCCGGCCAGGAAAATCTTGCCGCCTTTGCGGGATGTCCAGACACAAGTTGGGGCCTGAGCTGTGCCTGTACCAACCCCCAATCTCACCTCGATGGAGGTCGAGCTGGGCTCCAGACTGCTTACTCCTGCTCCTTTTGGCACCTTTGGCCACAGCGCCTGACTTGCTCTTCGGCTTGCCATCTGGTTCTGCTTTGGCTGCAGCTGCTGCTTTGGTGGCGCCTTCTGTCCTCGGCAGGTCTTGGGGGCAGCCACCGCTTTGGCCCTCTTTGTGGCTGCGCATCACCTCAACTACCTCGTCGTCAGTGGCGTTGTCGGCAGCCGTCTTCCTGGCGAACTGTACCTTGTCACCCAAGGCTGCAGGCACCAAAGTTGCAGAAGGCTTCGGTGACTGGCGCTGGTGTAGCTGCCATCACTGCCCTGTTGATCCGGCAGATGCCAGCCCTATGCTTCCCTCCGCAGGCTCGACCCGATTGTTGGAGAATGGCGTGTGCTCCAAAAGGGCAATCAGGGGTTGGGGCACTCGTCCGTCTGAAAGTTTGGGCAGGGAAGTTTCCCATTCTTCAAGGTTGCAGTCGCCACCTTGCCTCCCATCCCAGATGAGCTGGTATCTTGGGAGACGGAGCAGCCTCTGCTTCTTTCCGAGCCTTCTCAGCAAAGTCCACAAACTGCTGTGACAGCTTGAGGCGCTTCCTGACATCGAAGAACTTCTGTGAGGAGGCCCAAATGGGTGGCGGTCTTGGCGCAGCAGTCGCTCGGCTTCGGCCAAGCCATGCGCCTTGGCTTTGTCCAGCCATTTGCCCCACATCCGGCTGGTCGCCTTTGTTCTGCCAGTCGCCGAGGCCGTTAGCTCTTCCGGCCGGCTCCCCCAAAAAGCTGAGCCAGCGTGGGGGCCATGCGTCGGCATGGGTATGTGGTGATCTCCCCTGGGTTGTCTTGGAGGACCGCCAACTCGCTTTGCATGGACCCTTGGGGCTCCAGGATTGTGCAAGGGCGGCCTTCATCCGAGAAGCACAAGCCCGACACCCTTTGCCTGGCTGGGGGCAAGTGTCCTGTGGGCTTCCAAGACTTCCTTCGCCCAGAAGAAGCCGCCAAAGAAGCAGGCTGGGATGAGGTAGTCAAAGCCATCTCTGTTGTGTTTCTGCTTCCCCTTTCTGGCAGCGGCAGTGGAGAAAGGCTGCTGTCAACCTCCTTGACTCAAAACGGGTAATGTGGGTATAGCGGGGGCATCCGAAGGCTATCATCCACGAAGCTAGAAGCACCGTCCAACGTTCGTCACCAACGGAGTGGAGCTCGACGATTAAATCTTCGAGGGCCTTGATGAGTGGTTATACTAAGGGCCTGACCACGAGGCCCAATCGCCCTGGGTGCGACAGGCACCTGTAGGTTGCTCAGATCCATCTCCTGCCTTGCGTCCTTCACTCGGAGCGCGAGGCGTCCGTCGAGATACCTGCAGGCTTGTAGGACCCCATGCCCTGGAAGCCCATTGATACGCTTTTGGATGGCCTCGCTGTAGTTCTTGTCCACATTGATGGTCTTGGGCTTCCGCTTGTAGATCGTCTTTTTGACGGGGCGCTGCAGGGCATGCAGGACCCTTAGGGTTGCCTTCAACTGCCCGCTGTGCTGCGATCTGCCGGAGGGAATCAGCTGCATTCCAACCTTGTGCAGGGTCACCCCCTGACGAGGAGGAAGTGGCTGCCTGTGCAGCGCAGTACACTTTGCCACCTGATGCCATGGCAGTGCACCCTAACTGAGAGTAGAAAGATGCTGCGGTAACCGCCTCACTCATACATTCATGGGTCCACCAGCATCTTCCGACGCTCCCCACAGCGGCTGCACTTCTGCCTCCATGTGTGCAGGAGCTGCAGAGCCACATTGGCTGTCCCCAAACGTAGTGTGCCACTGCTTTGGCTCCCAAAGCCAGCCGCACAGGGCACGATGTGCTCTGGCTCCAGGTGCTCCCCAAGCTGTCCAGCGTCGGCCGTGGGGCAGGTGCGCCAACTTTCGCAAAGTTCGCCCAGGTCCAGCTGCCCAGCGTCACCCGCTGCACAGCGGAGTTGTAGGCCGTACATGTCCTGAGGCACGAGGTCAGTGGCAGTGGTCGGGCTGCTGTAAGCCGCAAGGAGGAGGAGGAGGAGGTCCAGCTTCTCCTGATGCCTGATGCTTGTAGTAAAAGTCCCAAGCGTCCCCCGGCTGCACATCAGGCGGAATGATGACACCGCGGCTGCTCCAGAGCCCCAACCAGGGGAACTTGAACCCTCCAAGGTGTGCTGCGCAACGCTGACAATCTCCCGTGCAACAAGGCATCTTGACCAAAGAAGGGAACAATTCGGATCCACGGGTTGTTGGCATGACGAAGGGAGAATGCCTAATCTCAACAGCACGTGTATGCAGCCAGGTCGTGGCCCTCGCGTGCCAGCCTCTCCACATGCTGCTTGAACTCCAGGAAAGCTGCTGCGTGGAGGATATTGGCCTCAGTAGCAGCAGGGATATCAATCCCAGGTAGCTTACGCAGCATGCGAGGTCACCCCTCGCGACACACCAGGTCACCCCTGGAATGATCAAGGTCTAGAAAGGTCACCCCTAACCAGAAAGAAAGCAATGAATGCTATTTTGGTTCAACGCCCGGTTCAACTCCAACTTGAGCCAACATGATAGCATTCATTGGCTCACTTAAAGATGATACATGCATGCCAAGCTCAATGCATGAATATATATCATATATATCACACACACACACACATATATATATATATATACATCGGACATCTACAGTGCTGTATCAAACAAATCCCGGCTTGACAGAGTCATCCCGGCACACGCACATACAAAATTGCTTTCTTCGCGTCATCCCCGCCCTTACACACTATTCTGACTTCTGACATGCCATCTGAAGTATTTATACCATGTGTATTCTGATATTCTATGTGACATTTTTTGTGGCATATACTCTGACATTCTGTCCGAGATTCTTTCTGCCATCCTATCTGGCATTTTATATCTGGCATTTATTCTGGCATTCTATTCGAAATTTATCTGGCATTCTCTCTGACATGGCCACTGAGATCGGCGCTCGCGGTTAAGGTCCGGCAGTGCCCACTGATATCTGGAGTTCCCTGTTGGGGGAAGAAGGAAGGAAGGAGGAAGAAGGAAGGAGGAAGGAAGGAGGAAGAAGATGTCGAGTCAATTCTGATAAAATATAGAGGTCCTCACCTGGCAGGTGGGGAAAAACATGAAATTCGAAAGCTGTTGAGCACAGTACTTGTTTGTATCAATGTTAACTCATCAACAGTTTGAGAAGCTAAGTCGACCAGTGTATCCTTGCAGAGAAAGGAGCGTGTGCGCAGAAATACTCATAGGTGTGGCGCGTCTCTTTTCGTTGGGGGCCCAGAACCGCGCGGCGCCATCAGGATACAGCTCAGCAGCCAAACAGTCCTTGGTGGAAGGATGAGAGTAAGCCACGCTGCAAGTACTTCATCACATCATGAGCATATCAACATGTGCGATATAACATGATATATCTTGTATAGTATTACTTTTGCTGAATTTAGTAGACTTGGGAGATCCCACTGAACATCCAAAAATCAGGAATCTCTTGCGAACAGGTCTCAGAGCCGCTCCCAGGCGTTGTGGCAATTGCACCACACTCCAGGATTTTTGCGGCGTGGAGTGCGATAGCTGCTGGGAAGCCTCTACGCACAGGTTCAGCAGCAAAAAGGGCAGGGTCATACGCACGTCCGCAGAGTACCTGCACAGGAGATCGAAGATAATCGAAGGGAGGGGGATGTGCCATGATGCTGCCATGCGGTTTACATGCTGAAAACCAAAGCCTGAAAGATTCTTTGATTTCGAATTGCTACCGTGTGCGCTTGCGAGTTATAACTTAAGTGTAGAACATGCAATCAGCCGGGGAACAAAGATACTCAAATAAACCCATCGTTCTGCCAACATATAAACAGTTCTTTCCTCTTACAGCACAGCAGGTTTTGTTCCCACGTATTGATCACTTGTTGCACCTCAGTAGCACCCACCTCCAACAATCATGAATGGCGCCGAGGTTCAATGTCACTGTGCGGAAGTGCTGACATGATTGGTTCCAAGCCCATTTGTGCAACGACTACCTAAGGTTTGAAACGGAGGAGGTAAACACCTTCCAGCTGCTGCGGTACGATCAAATTCTTCCAAATGATTTCTCAAGAGCCTCATCATTCACAATGGTTTCCCATGTATGTATACAATAATCAATATTTCTGTTTGTCCCTATTTTGATACTGTAAATCTACAATTACACACTCATTCCTATAGCCGCTATATAATATATATATAATTATATATATATATATATGTCATGTGCTAGTTTCATTCATTATGGACGAAAACTTTAGCACATATGTATTCTACTTCTGCACGCCCTCCGGCAAGGTATTTCTTTCTGGCCCCGTGTGCCTCTGGATAGCTCAGTTGTGCCACAATCAAAAGCGAAAAACAATGAAGCACATGGAAAGCTACAGAGTTTGACGCTGCCAAGGTTTCTTTTGAAACATTGGGCATAGGTCCCAAGGGCGTCAGCGATCTGCCTTCCAATATGCCAAGATCAAGAATCTCGCCTGATCAATGGGGACATGGGGGCAAACGTAACAAAGCTGCTCGCCTGCTCGATTCTGTGTGTGTGTGTGTAGCACCTTGTGTTTCACATTTCTCTAGCCTTTGGAAGCTTTGGACAAGTCATAAAGTGCTCAAAGAAAAGGTGCCAATGTCAATTCCACCAAGAGGCTGGTGATTGTAGCGAGGGTTGGCTCGGGCAGGTGGTGCACCATCATTTGCCGCAAAGCATTTGCTAGTATCAGGACCTGATTGTTCGTGCCGCAACCACCAGCTGAGCCTACCACCAGTTTGCACGGATGTCCTGCTCGGATTTGCTTCCCCATACCTTCGACTATGATCTGAAGATCTCGCAAAACATGTTCCAGCGATGTAAAAGAGCTGCGAGATGCTAGGTAATAAGGACCTGGGTCAATGGATCCAGCATCTACTGCAATGAGATCGAATCTTGCTTGGTCCAAAGCAGCATCGAAGGACGCTTTGGGAAATCCGTAGCCCAAAATCGCAGTTGGAGCTAAAATCCTGAAGACACCGAAGACGCCTGATGCGTTGTCTTGCGATGTGTAGTACCTCCTTGCCAAAGGCACCACAGGACGGAGTTGATGCGCTGATCTCAAGGTCTTCTCCCAATACGCAGCTTGCCAAGCAAAGCGCCTAATGCAACATCTCATCTCCATTGAATGGAACGAAGCGAGAATGATAAGCCAGAACAGGACTCAACCATTGGAGCTCCGGCCGCCCAGTTTACATCACTATCTTGGCAAGCACTGTGTATATTCCCTGCACGAGCAGAAGATACTGAAGGTGAGAAGCTTGAAGGATTTGTGCAACATGCGTTTGCACAAATGCTGACCATATCTGTGTATAATCATTATATATAATCAGTAAGCATCGCAATGAATGTGGATCCAGAGATTTGAGCTTATGTTGGCCACATTCACATGACTGTGATCTTGCGGTTGTTGGGTGAGGTGGCAAGTGTATAGGACATTTCAGCAATATCTTCAACTGTACAAAGGTCAGTAAAAAGTGGCTATGAATGATAAGACCTTGGCTCTTAGACCCTGTCCACAAACTTAGTCGTGACCAACTTGGAAGCAAGGCAGGATTTTCAAGAGGCGAGTTCTGACTGTTTGATCATGTTGTAGTGCCAAACAGCCAAACAACATACACAACATTTACTGCACCTGTTGCAGTTTTGAAGGCGTTCTGGTCCCTAACGCTACCACGTTGCCGAACCATGATCCTGCAACATCCTGCAACTTCCTGCAACTTCCTGCAACATGTCGTTCAACTCTGCCAAATCTGGATGATATAATTCCAAATTCATTCCCAGTCCTGGCAAAAGGAGGCCTGACCCTCAAAGATCCGCAGCTTGACGCTCGACTGGAAATCCGAATGGGTGGTCAATGTCACGGTGCGCTTGGTGGGAATGGTAGTGTTGCGCTCCTGACAAATAGGGACGTTGCAGCACAAAACAGCACATGCGATCAGAGATGAAGTTGGCTACTGGGAAGGTAAGGTGATGCCTTTGTTCTCAGATCAAATTTGGAAACTAGGAAGACCGGGACCACTTAACACAAAAATCAGTGATCACACAATTTATGAAAACTTAGGCGCCTATTTCAGGAAGTACCAAGGCTTTTCTCTGTAGCACATCTCTTGGCAAAGTTAAAGCAGCAGCTACCAACCTTGTGATATCTCTGAAACGATCCCCGCATGCATTCCTACAACAATCCGAGCCCAGCATAATCTACAAAACCAAGCATCGATGACGCGCGTCATGGCACCATTGGCGGATTCAAATCCAATTGACAACGGTGTCACATCCAGCCTGAATATGTCACAGAAGGCACAACACTGTCGCAGCCGCTCTGCAATTTCACAGCCCAGAATTCAAACAACATAATTTTGATTCGGCTCCGACATACGGGGCCGAAAGATGACCCCGACACAAGAGGCCAACATTCTGGATCTAGCTTTCTTATCTGCATACTCAAGGGTGCTGGACTTCTATTTCCACTTGTTGCCTTTAGTACAGCGTTACGTCATGCATCAAGGAAACCCTTCCTTGACTTTGAACACCATCTTCCCTTAAAGCCTCAGCCTCACACACTCGAACCGACAGTATATGGCATGCATGGGCATCCAGTCTGACTATATGTGGATGAACCATGTAGCATTTACCGTCTTGTCTGTGTATCACGTCATATCCCTTTTGGCATTGTCGACAGTACGCGTCGCTATCCAAAGTCAAGGCAAAATTACATAACATTGATTCAAATAGTTTTTACAAACCATACGTACCCATCATATCTATCACAGAAGACCGTCCTCCTATTCAGTATGTAATCAAAGCAACATGGAAGGACCCATATCAGTTCAACCTAGGCTGGGACTGGGAGCAGGACCGTGCAGCACACGTGTCATCAGAAACAGAACCTTTCCCTTGATTTGATCATTAATCGCTTGTCTTTCCTCCATAATAGGCCACCACTACCACAATGCCAAAAAGTACTTGTAAATGTCTAAACGCACTTAGCCCTGCTGGCCGTACTCAGAAACTAGATGACGCCTCAAACATGGCGGTCTGGCTGACCAGTCGCAACGGTCATTCAATTTGTGTAGTTAGCCAATCTCAACTGAGAAGCAGAAGCAAATCGATCATGCTGTTGTTGTTGTTGGCGCCAGATAATACCGCAGCCTGATCAACGAAGCAATTCATCCTTGCCCTGCGTTTGCACAAAGAGCCAATTGTAGGCTTGTATGACAAGGCGACATCGCAAAGACGAAAACTCTTGTTTTTTGTGATGTTTTTTGTACTTATACACTTTAATACCTGCACTTGACTTTAAACACGTATCAACTTGTGTCAATAATCCCTTCCCCCTATTACTAAACCTCCCCCAAATAAAAAAAACTAGGGTCCATCTCTAATTTTGGAAAATTTCAGGCTGGCCAAGTTGACTTTTAATTGATCCCCTTTAGAAAACAATTTAAAAATAAAGCTATCATTTGTGGGTTTCGGCCCCTAATAATAAAAACTAGTTAGCCCCGGGGTGTTTCTCATTAGGGCCCGTGAAAATTTAATTTTTTTATTTTCAATTTATTAAAAAGGTCCGCTTCGAAATCCAATTTTTGGCAATATTTTAATTGCGTTAAAAAAGGAAATGTAATTGATTTTGAAATCGAAGCAAATAGTTTTTTTATTAAGGGTTTCAAATTATTAAAAGGGTCCGCTTCGAAATCCAATTTTTGGCAATATTTTTTATTGCGTTATAAAAGGAAATTGAATTGATTTTGAGATCGAAACAAATAGTTTTTTTAAATTCAGGGTTTCAATTTATTAAAAGGGCCCGCTTCGAAATCCAATGTTTGGCAATATTTTAATTGCGTTATAAAAGGAAATGTAATTGATTTTGAAATCGAAACAAATAGCTTTTTTTTAAGGGTTTCAATTTATTAAAAGGGTCCACTTCGAAATCCAACTTTTGGCAATACTTTAATCGCGTTACAAAAGGAAATGCAATTGATTTTGAAATCGAAACAAATAGTTTTTTTTTAAGGGTTTCAAATTATTAAAAGGGTCCGCTTCGAAATCCATTTTTTGGCAATATTTTTATTGCGTTATAAAAGGAAATTGAATTGATTTTGGAATCGAAACAAATAGTTTTTTTAATTCAAGGTTTCAATTTATTAAAAGGGTCCGCTTCGAAATCTAATTTTTGGCAATTTTTAAAATTGCGTTATAAAAGGAAATGTACTTGATTTTGAAATGGAAACAAAAAGTCTTTTTTATTAAGGGTTTCAATTTATGAAAAGGGTTTGCTTCGAAATCCAATTTTTGGCAATATTTTTATTGCGGTATATGGTGATCCTCCAACCATAATATAGTAACAATCTACACACGTGTCATGTTGATTCTGAAAGGAACTGTGGAACCTGAGGTGTAGGATGGTTACATTTTTCTATCTTAGCTTTACCTTCTTTTTCGGGTACTTTCTGCAAGGAACTATATGGACCTTATGTATAGAATGGTGTTTTTTAAATCTTATATTTACATTCTTTTTTAAGCACTTTCTGCAAGGAATCAAGGACCTCAGGTGTAGGATGATTACATTTTTTTACTCTCATCTCTACCTTCTTTTTTAAACACTTTCTGCCAGGAATTGTAGGCCTCAGGTGTATAGTTACATTTTTCTATCTTGGTTTTACCTTCTTTTTCGAACACTTTCTGCAAGGAACTATGGACCTCAGACATAGGTTGATCACATCCCCACAAAGACACCTCACAATTAGTTTAGAAACTGCTTGCGAACATTTAACAATTTTTACCTCCCCTCCCCTCCCCCTATCCGTAGAGTATCGGGGGGGGTTCGGAGGGGGGTACGGGGTGACGTATGTCTTACGGACTTTCAACCCACCCCCTAAATGTAAATCTTCCTTTTTTTTTTCCCTCCAACAACGCAGCCACCTCCAAGCTAAGAAACTGGGCGAAGACGGCGTAGGCGAATGCCATTTAATTTGAATGCAAGCATCACTCAATCAAAAGAACTCATGTAAAGGTGGCACAAAATTGAGCGGATTATTTTTTGCAGCAAATCTGGAGGCACACCCCATCAAGAAAGCGAAGATATGATCCGGAAAATGGAATGAACGAGAAATGTGCAGGGAAGCTACGTGGCAAAATCCAAAACTCAACAAATGTGTAGATCTCAGGGCAGTAATGGCCAGCTGGTGGGATTGGAACAGTCGCATGGCAGCTCGCTTGAACCTTTGGACAAGCACTTTCAAAGTCATGGATTGATTTATGAAACCCGGAAAGTATCCAAACTGGAAAACAAAATCTGCCATGATTTCAACCCACGACGTTCTATGGATGGATCTATGCGATCCAACGACCCATGCCGATTGGGAGAAAAATTCACAAATAGCGCCAGCTGCGCTGGGGCTAAGCCGCATGGGTCCGGCAGCCAAAAATGCAGGATCTGGACTTGTGACTAATGGCTGCCACATTTCTTGGGGATAAGCGATGGCGATATACCTGTTATGGTGAGAAGATACTCTAGTTCTGATAAAAGGACTAATTGGTTCGCCTCGCTTAACACAAGAGATGAACATGTTTTCGGCATCACCGGCACGGATTACCAGTGGGCGACACGTCCCAGAACAAACAGAGCCCTTAGAACAAATCCGAGTTTTGGGGGCGCAGGAGCATACAAATGATGAAGTCAACACCTTGTAATGGGGAAAAAAATCTTGCCCCGCTGGTATCTCCGCTGGTAACATTTTGAAGAGCGAACTACGTGTGGCCAACGTATGGACCAAATGGGCTTGCAATGACATGGCCAATGCAAGTTCTTCGCAGGCCGTTTGTTGGCGGGCTTCGAGGAAAGCCCAGGCAGTATCTTTTGCTAACTTGTCAGCACAAGAATTACCTTCGGTGAGAAAAGGATCTTGACAAAGGTTGTGTTTACCACAGTGGGCTTTTACTTTATACATCGCGAAAGGCGGGCTTCGCTTGTTGGCCACAAAATTGAACAAAACCCACAGATCCCGATTGTCAAGATTGGTGATACATTTATTTGAGAAGCCACAGCGTCGTAAGAAATTGACAATGTTGACCACATTTGCACAATCGGAATAAATTGTGATATTTCCGGCGCAGTGCCACAAAGCTGCGATGACTGCAAATATCTCAGCCCGTTGGCTTGTTTGATCAAGGCCTGGTAGGAGATAAGCTTTTGAGCATCCATCACGGGGCACGGTTTTTGACGTAGGAGGGGTCTAACATACATATAGCCTTCCCCATCGGGAAAAAATACGAAGGGGTCAAAATTGTTGCTTACATTTTTTGAATGTCCCCCATGCTTACACCCCACGAAAAGGGTGGTGATATTCTAAATATATTTGGATAGTAATTCAAGTCTTACATGGTCTTACACCATGCTTGGGTGACTTGTACAAAAGAACACAAGCCTGGTAACTCCCTCACATTTTGTAAGCCAATGCACGAGGCTTGATGCAACAGCCAAAATCCCTGCAAAATTTTGCGCGCAGCTCGTTTTCCAAGAATAGCACCAATTCCCTACAACATGACCCCTTAAAATCAACAAAGTGGTTCCTTACAAAACGAATGGTCGCAATCCGGCCAAGATCTCAAACTGCATTTGGAGATTGCTATATGACAGTGATTTCTGCCTAAATCATCTATTTTATTGCCTTTACAACATGGCAAGGTACGCGCAACTCCTGACAAAATGGCCCCTTCAAATTAGTACATGCTACAAAGTGGCTGGCCACGGGAAAGTGATTTCCTACAAAATGACCCCTAGAAATCATTAGAAATCGACCTGATATGGGCCTTGAGGGCAGCCCCCCATCGGGGAAATTTCAACGGGGATGAAAAATACGGTTCGCGGGACAAGCAACTTTTATTTGCAATCCACTTGCGGCCACTCGGGTGGCTGCAAGTGACTGCAAGTGACGCTGTTGTTCATCTAATTTCAAGTCCCACCGGTATAGCAACCAACCACGTACGACATTTGCTCAGCCCCCCGCGGCCGCTTGCGGCCACTTGCTCCGGAGACCGGCCGCAAGAAACCGTGGCAACCCTGGCAACTCTGTCACCCTGTGGCAACCCCGAGGACACTGTGGCCTGGTAAGTGGCACCTTCTACAACGGCACATTCAGAATTCACTGCGTTGCAGGGCTCCTGACGAAAACGGGGCGAAACGGATATGTCCCACACTCAGATTCAAAAAACAAATGTGGCAGTGAGATGGTATCTGCAGACGTAAAATGGAAAATATCGCAGCTGATCGTCCGTAGAATGAGTTCTGGAAACAGCAAAGAGACTCTTCCGGCTATGTAGGCAACTCACGTTTCGCTCCCAACAAATTGCACCGAAATTTCAATGCCACTTGTCGTGCAAAATTGTAGAAAAAACATCACTGTGTCTGCCTGTGACTACCAGTTCAGGCAATTCCATCATTCCGCTGCAGTGCAAGTGCAAAATAGCATTATTGCGCACGATCTTTCCAATATTGGCCTACATAGAGACGACAGTGTTGTTCAGTAATGAGTCATCTTTGCTGACTTTTGTTCGTTTCTGGATCTGCTTTTCCCGAAGACGTAGCAAGTGGTTCTTGTTTTTCATGGTGGGGGCCTGGAGCGGAGGATTTTTAAAATTACTCGGACTGTCATCGCGGATTGTCCTGCATAGAGCGAATGCTGCAAAACGTATCGTGTTGGAGGTGTAAAATGTAATGTCATTCTGTGTGGCAAACGTGGCATTTGGTGAAAATCAGGCGTGACCATATCGCGCCCTTGCTGTGCATAAAGTGGGTGCTGCAAAATGTGCTGTTTTCGCATGGGTCATATGTCTTTTTGCGCGGCCGGCATGGCATTTGGTGGGAATCAGGCGGGAAGTAGGCGTGACTCTCTAAGGCGCCCTCGCTGCGCTTCTGGCGAATGCTGCTAACCTGTTATTTTTGGAGGTGTGCGATGTCATGGTGTGTGGCAGGCGTGGTACTTGGCGCGAATCAGGCCGTAAGTAGGCATGACTCTTTGAACCGCTCCCTTGCTCCCTTGGTGAGCCTACGGCGCCCATGCTGCCAAACCTGTTGTTGGCTGTGTTACATACAAAACAAAACAACTTTCGCACTGGAGCTTCATTATAATATTTGAACGGATTGGCAGCATGATAAAAACGCAGCCTGAGTTTTTTCACCATTTGCGCTTGTTGAAGTCTTGTTGACATATCCTTAATTGAGACAAATGTGAATGTGTGTGTGTGTTTGTAATGCGCATCCGCTGCTTCGGAATTGCTCCTGCAGGTGGCGTCCAATGTCCATCAGCTAGACATGTCTGTGCTGTGCTGTGCTGCAGGCCCGGCTGCTGCTACTGCTGGGCGAGTGGAAGGTGTTAAAGCTTCGAACCATGATAAAACACGAAGAATGAAATGACTCTTTGTTTACTATATAATGTTAATGAAATCACGAACTGCCCAACGATAGTGACTGTTGGGTTTCAATCTCTGGGTCTGGGAGTGGTGCGCCGTTTTTTGGTCGGCCCTGAAAACCTGAACGGAACACTGGAACCCTGGAACCGTGTCGCCTGCTGTTGGGTTGCAAACCTGGGCTAATGTTTGTTTCAAAGTCTGCTTGGCAACTTGCTGTCATATTTGAATCTGTCGCTTATGCATCACACACTTTAGACTTTAGAATGTAGTTTTCACACTTTTGCAGCAAATGTTGCTTTTTCATACCGCAAAACATCCTCTGCTTTTCTGCTGCAGGTCGCATGCGACGCGCCGCTGGCGCGCTATCTTTGCTGTGTGCTGCTGTAGCGGTAAAGCAAGAGCGCACTTCCGCCTGGGCATGTTTTATGTTCCATTTCCCGTCTACATCCGTCTATTGCTGCTATATTGTCATAGCTTGTCTGACTAGCCTACCTACTAGTAGTGCATTCGGGTTTGTTTCTTCTTTATTTTCGAAACCAGGGTGGGTAATCCATTGCTTAGCCTGCCGGCGTTCTTGGACGTGACTCAAAGCATGAACTTAAAACACCTAGCAGCAGCTCCTTTCCAAAAAACTCTGTCAGCATCTGGCGTAGCTTTGGTACATGTGCAGAGCCACCCACCAGCAATACATCATCAATTTCAGTCTTGCCAACATTGCCTTCGGTCATGGCGCAAGCATTCTACTGGTAGCTCTACACAACTGGACCAAGACTGCAGGCGCAACACCATCACAACTCCCCTATATCCGTGTGGGAATGCGAACGGGACATTCCGCTTATACCATACTGCCGGTACGGGACAGTGGAATCAACTGTTGGTACCGGGCGCAAAATAATTAGTTTCAACTTTCAACCTTTCACACTTGCAGATGCTATTGACATGCTCTCGGAAAATCCAAGAAACCAAGTGCAACCAGGAACCGTCTAGCAACGTTGACTCCACAAGCTGTTTCACCTTTTGGAGGATGGGCCAGATCAATTTCTCAAAGGACGCTCTGGAAATTCTTGTAATCTCCTCATCCTTGGCTATATTATACGAGGCAGCTGCTCAGTTGGGGGTGGGTCCTTGATGTGCTGCGAAGCATGAAGACAAATACTCAACTTCACATGCTGACAAACCCATATATAATATTATATAATCATATTCATACAGACTAGTCTCTAGAAATCGCAGCATACCTTCCAAGAAGCAATCAGTATATAATTATCAGAAAGCAATGTGGATTTGGCCACTGGTTTGTTTGGCCATTGCTGACCGGAAATAACCCACCATATAGACTAAGTGCGGCGCTTCACGGAAGTCCAATTCTATCTGCGTTTCATGGAGGAAACTCAGCCGGCCTCAGCCAAATCAATGCATACCAGACTTTCTTCCCCGAGCTGCTGATAGACACCCTCAACTGCCAACTGCAAAAATCAGTGGAAAGACCCTTGACCTTAAAGTATGTTAGAGTATTGGCCTGATCCATTGATTTCAATTTTGCATGTATAGCACATATAGCTTGTAAAGATCTGTATTGCCAACAAATCGTACATGCAGCTACTGACCATTGCCGAGTCTCGCTTGGCAGCTTCGCAGGCCTCACGCAGCTGCCTCACTCTTCGAGGATTCTTTGGCGCATTGACGTAGCCCTATCACGACATCGCTGAGCAAACCAGCGGAACTCTATGGGGAACTCTATGGGGAAGCCTGTCTGCAAACCAATCTGCTTGTTTCACGTACTATCCATACAAGTTGACAGCTGGTGAAATATGACTTCTTCAGCGCAGTCGATGCGGTTTGTTCTTGCAAGCCCTTGCTATTGACAATTAGCCGTTCTGTGACTTGGTGACTCACTGGAACAAATTTACAGGTACTGATTCTGCACAAACTTGCTCACAGTCTTTTCCTCACTTTCATACGATTCAAAGTCACAACCTCACACACTAGAAAAGAACTGGATCATTGAAGTGATCCGTCGGGAACTGAATCCCAAAACATGCAATTAAACAAGATTATTGATGTAAGGTAGATCTCCATGTAGCGGTGTGCAACCTCGATGTTCTGGTTCTTGGGTTAGCCGCATCCCATGTCCAGAAATTGAAACGCTTTGCAGGTACGTCGGGATGATCAGTCCCGGTATCACAATCTCAAACCACCGTCTTCGTTGGGCAGTGGATGGAATGAGATTCACTGCCCCCCCCGGCATCTAATGACAATACCAGTTAAGAAGAAGTGTTACGAACTGTTACATCTGTTCAAATGTTTCACACACGCACACACCTACACATTACAGAGGGGCACGGGGGATAATTAGGGACCAAATGGGGAACTAGTTGATGAAGAGAAGTGAAACAACAGTAAGTTCAAAGGGATTTAATTCCTAGAAATCGTGCGTTACTCCCTCGAAGGGACGGTAGTCGGTCACACCCACAAGTGGGCATTAAACCGCTGTTCAAGTTCATACGAATTGGGTGCACATTCAATATGTTCAACCTCACCAGAGAACCATCAAAAGAAAGTAGACCACACCTGAAAGCATGAAGCCTCAAGCCTTCCATGATCCATGAATGCAATGTTGGCGACACCGTTCCTGTCTTGTGATAAAAACTAGTTTCAGGCTGTTCCGTACAGCTTCACTTGAGCAAAGGTGGATTTGCCGAGGTATCTCAGGGACGGCAGAGGCAGCAGGATCTCGAGAAAATGGTGCAGAACCAAATGGCCGACTGTTTCACTTTACGTAGACGAATTACTAAAATAAAAGTGTAAATTCAGAGTTCTGTTCGTCCACATTCTCCCAAAAGGGTTCCCTCAAATGGGTCCATGGCACCATGTCGGAGCCACCATGGAAATTACACTCTAGAAAAGAACTGGATCATTGAAGTGATCCGTCGGGAACTGAATCCCAAAACATGCAATTAAACAAGATTATTGATGTAAGGTAGATCTCCATGTAGCGGTGTGCAACCTCGATGTTCTGGCTCTTGGGTTAGCCGCATCCCATGTCCAGAAATTGAAACGCTTTGCAGGTACGTCGGGATGATCAGTCTCGGTATCACAATCTCAAACCACCGTCTTCGTTGGGTAGTGGATAGAATGAGATTCACTGCCCCCCCGCATCTAATGACAATACCAGTTAGGAAGAAGTTTTACATCTGTTCAGATGTTTCACACACACACACAGCCAAGAAGAACATCTTGCAGTCTTGGAAAACGATGGTCCCTGTGTTTTGGAGCGTGGTGTTCATTGCACATGACTCCCACCATCAGGGCTTCGTCAAAGTCAGAGCCACCCAGCTGCGCGCCATTGGTGGCAAGTATCCTCAACAAACACGATTTGCAGAAATCCAGGCTATGACAAAAAAAATAAAGGACTCGTTTCCACATGTTTCGAAAAAATGCACATATCAGTTGACGAACAGCATCATAACCTCATCCGCTTGCAAATTCTGTGGAATATGGAGTGGCTTGGCAGCGAGATCAATAGCACTGCATTTCCTGTGTGCTGCAGTTGAGACTCTCAAAGATGCCATCTTCAATGGATAGCACGGATACGTCTGTCATACCAGCACCCATGTCCTTAACAGCTTTGGCAGTTTATGAAGACGCGGCAAAAAGGAATCCTTCAACTACCCATCGCACCAAGCAATAATTTTACCCCATGCACTATTTCAATTTTTGCAGTTGAAACGAACTGCCGTGCACATCTCCCTGTACCTGTACCTGTACCTGTACAACGATGTGTGAATACAAGACTAAGTTTGCAAAGATGTAAGTTTTTGTAATTTCATTGCCTGCCAAACAATCATGGATTTTGCGATCGACAAAACATCAACAAAGACACTGTTTCGCAGCCTCTTGGTAGTTCCCATTAATGATTAATGATAAAGATTGCTTGGGATTACTGTCAAACACATGCAGCATCCCAGTTGGGCTGATTGTATCTCAGACTCTGTGCCCAGCCATTTTGGTTCTTCATGACATGTTGGGGGACGACCACAATGACCTGACAATGACTACAGAGGTACTACAGCGTGATATATTTTACATATGATGGGCTGTCCTTCTTTCCGTTTCCGGGTATGATATGTGCTGCGTTGCCCACACACCATTCCGTTGACGCTACTAGGCCACAACCACCAAAACCTTGCGTTCCGCCGCTCCCTGCCTTAATCACTGGTGTCTCACGGAGTTGAACAACAACTTGAAAATGCAAATGTGATCTATCATGGACAATTTTATTTATGGACTATAAAAGTGTTTATGATATTTATATCATATCAATATATATTTTAATTCTATTTATACAGTTTGGAAGACTCTGAAGGTTTCTTCCCTCTTGCATCTAAGATGCGCGAGGCCATGTGCAATGGCTGCAGCTGTTGGCTCATTTATGATCCTGCCATGGACTTCTCAGCATACAGCAAGCCGAATGTATATCAAACTGGAGTCCTGAATTTCAACATTTCCCAAATGCCTGCAAAACCCTGAGGGCGTTCAGAGAATTCTGGTGTCGACTTAAGTCGAATGGCAAGATGAAACTATTCCGAGGTGACACAAAGATTCCTGACTACATCTACAGTGTACTGTACAGTAGGTACAATGAAAAATCATGAAGCAATCCTGTCGCAAAATTCCAGTTCAGTTCAGTTTTTCATTATTTTTGAGGGGGCTGTAACCCTTCCTGCCTCAAGACTTGGAATCCTGCCGCTTCTGCAGCGGATTTTGTCGCTTGTCGTTGCGTGTCATTAGCATGCCCCGGCACGGTGAGCACACAGCCCAACTGCAAGAGATTGTGAGCACATCTGATCATCTGCTCTGTTGATCTCTGTGGTACAGAAGCAGAAACATGATCTGACATGATCTGACAAACGGATACAAACGGTGAGAGGCCTAGAAACCAAAAAAAAGATGTGACATAAAGAGCATAGCCGTTTTAGCCAAAGCAAACAATTCAGTATCCAGCCTAAAGCTCACAATGGAACAGGGGTAAGCAAACTTCTGCAAACCTCTTTGTTGTAAACAAGTGCCACTTGGTCTTGTTGAAAAAAAACCTGTGCTTGAATCTCAGCACAAATCCACCCAAATGTCACCCAAAGTGCTGCCTTTGTATTCGCACCACCCAAGTGATCAGTCACCACCTGATCGAGCAAGAAGCAAAAGCAATCAGGATCCGTGCTCTTTTTTCTGCCGCCTGTGCAAGAGCAGCTTCTGAAATGCTGGAAGATGTTCCTGTTGACTGAAACCAGCGAACGAACTTCCAATTCAGGTTTCCTCCCAAATCATATGAATCATTTTTGTGGTGTGCAGTTCCTGTCTGAGTTCGTCCTGATTCCTTCTCTGAACGTGTCGTCGGTTAAACTTTTGAGTCCTACCCGGCCAGCGAGGCCTGCTTGACATCTTGCAAAATCACCTTGGCCAGCTCTTCGGATTCAAAACATTTCCTGGGCTGCCACGTCATTGGAACCAGTTTGACTATTTTGACCCATCGAGCCTTCAAAAAGGTAAGAGATGTTAAATGTCCTACATCAAACCCGAGTGGCGCTCTGTACCCAGGTAGCCGGATCGCTTTAACCCTATTCATGGCTATTCATGGGATCACTTGTGACCGCATTCAGGTGGAAGTCCGCCCATTCTGGTGGAAGGTCGGGTGGAAAACTTTCAGGAACCTTCAGCCTTCATCCGACCTCACCTCCAGCCTGACTGATCCAGAAACCTCCGCCAAGCATTGTGCCTGTCACGTGAACATAGCTCATTGCTCAAAACAGGCACAAGCAATCCAACCAAATAGGGTCAGAAGCGATCCCGCGGACCAAATAAGGTCAGAAGCCTCACTTGCGAGCTGATGTCTCCAGAAATCTCCAGAATAGGGTCACAAGCGATCCGGACAGCTCCATCAAATACTGCGCCCGTCACTTGAGCGATCCCAATCCGAGACTAGGGTCACAAGCGATGTGGCAACCTTGAACCCAACCCGGTTAGCTAGATCAAATATGACCAAATGAATTGGAACTGGCTGATGAGTCACTGCTTCACTATCCGTCATGTGGGTACGCGAAGAAATTCCATTCCCTGGCTTATATGCCTGAAACAATCTGTGCCTGGTGTAAACATCTACTACACTGTCTCGGTTTTGTTGCGGCTAAGCACGGTTTGATTTTTGCCAAAAGTTTCTGAGTTTTCAACTTAAGCGAGAGGCTTAAGCGAGAGGCTGAACGTAATCTATGACAAGTTAACGACGAGTCATCCTCACCTTTAAAGAAGACATGCGTCTCTTGGCCTTCAGGTCCGCAAGGCAAACTTATGAGTGGTCGATCATCGTCTTTCCCTTCCTGGAACATTTCAACCACACAACCCTGTGGGCAACATGAAATATATGAAAGATTATGAAAGTGCCCCGCATTGCATGCCAATGTTGACATTGCTTGTCAAAAAGAAATTGAAGGTGCTGACCCCACCTTGAATGGAGCTTCCAAGCACCCATGCTTTGCAACAAGTTCACTCCAGCGGCGACCCAGAAAGCGCTTCGGACCGCAAACCTCATCACAGAAAGAATCCAAGCTGAGAGTCGCGCAAAAATAACACACGTCAAATTCAAAGCAGTATTTTGCTTGCAAGTTTCAAAATGCTTCAAACCACAAAACAAGAACACCTTCACTATCCACCCAGCAGATTCACCAGATCCGGTCGTTTAATTTCAAGGAGACTTGATTTCACCGCCAAACACGGACTAGTTTGATTTCCAAGTTGCAAAAAACCAGCTGAATTGCAGTGAGCCAAGGGTGCTCCAAACCGCTAGCCGCTAACCATATTCCAAAAGCCCAGGGGCAAAGTTCTCAGGACGCGCGTTGCTCCTCAGCAGGATCACAAAAAAACATCGGAAACAAGTGTTCTAGATTTTTTTCGACCCTGTTGGCGCTAGGGACCATAGTGACCATCTGACCAACTAAAAGCCGCTGCAGCAAAGAATCCACTTGGCAGCTTCACCAACGAGTAGCTTTCCATCCTGCCGCAAAGGAAGCATATTAACTTAGTGACTTAGTGTAGCATTTTGCTGGAAATTGATGCAATTTGTACTGAAACAAACTGCTTCAAAATGGAAGCTGAGCTTGCAAGCATGTGTACATGGATTATGGATCAAACATGATGGAAACAGAAGAACAAAAAGGGTTCGACAAGAATATTGCGGCACCTTTCAGGATTTGTGGATCGGGCCTTGACAGCCACACAGCAAGGCGTATTGATATTTCCCTGGGAATTCGGGAGCACTTTGGCTCCTTGCCGTGGCAGCTGCTTGCATTCAAAAATCAAACAAAAAGCGCTCGCGATGCTTCATAGTTCATAGTCAGACCCATGGCTGACAAGCCCAGTATCCACTCGGCAGAGTTTTGTCGATGGGATTAGGCTTGAGAGCCACTTTAGGTTAGCAAGAAAGACATAGAAAGACTGCTAACAGAAGGAACATGAAGGAACAATACCTCTGCGAAGGTTTCCGGCATCTGCATTACTTGATCGTTTCTTTACTTGCTTGGGACTTGGGGCTTTACCTTTCAGATAAGAGCCAAACAAATCACAATGAATATTATTTCGGACAGGAGATGGTAACAAATTCCCTGTGCTGGGTCGCGCCTCCGTCCTGCCAAAGAGCAACACGACAGTTAGTGGTGCCGAAATCAATGCCACACACATCTCCTGACCGCAAAAACAACGAATGAAAATTACTGAAAGGGGTGACAGTGTGTGGTAATTGTAAAAGACAAAACTGCCCTGCTGGAAACAAGCATCAATCAATCATAACCAATCTACAGTGATTTAGATTTAACAAGGCACTTAAATAATCTAGAATCCGAATGAGCTTGAAAAGGCTTCAAAGTTGGGACTGAAACAACGATCATGCGCACTCCAACATTGCTCTACATAAGTCTACATGCGCGTCATATATGTCTTCATTTTTCTTGAAAACACTTCATGAGGACGTAAAAAAAGTGAGGCATAGTGTGGCATAGCCGTCCGTAAAATGCGCAACATCACACAAGATATCTACTTCTTGTCCTGCAAAGCCTACTTGGGCAGGCATTGGTGTGTAGGCGGGTCTCTTTTGCTGCAGGGGAACCTCAGCAATCCACTGTGCTAAATGCTTCATGATGCTTCATGCATATCATTCCTGCATCTTCAAGCTACATCCATTTTGCAACAACGCACCATGACGCCGTAAGTGCTACTCTAGCACTATTCAACACACCATTCCTTGATTCCTTGTGAGATCCCCATCAGAGTCACTTTCAATCAACTCATGTTTTCTGATGTTTTCTGTATAATGTTGGCTTCACGGAGGATGTGTCACACAGAATTGATATTGTGAAGATGACCTCCTCCAGGGTTGGTTTAGCGCCCTCCGGTTTGCTCTGTCCTCCCCTGATGTTTGTCAAGTCTTTAAACTTTACATCCGTCGACCCCTGCCGACAGCAAAATGAGCAAACAAGATAATTACGTGGTAAGCTGGTTACAAGCTGTGCGACGAAAGGAATATGACACTGTGAGCGCACGCTCGCAGAGAGCAGAACATGATCAACACTTACACTCACTCTACCAACATAACCCTTATGGCACCACCGGTGTGCGAAGCTCTACGTACAATATACTTTATACTATACCCACCCCTGCCTTTCTTAACCTTATTAGTTGCCATGTTTCGCTGGCTATGTTGAGAATACTTCGACAATCTTCAACACTCGGCCTGTATCGTCATCAGCATGTTGCAGCGGCTTCCCATAGCATCAATGCCAAATCGCCGTGCAACGGCCTCTGTCGAACAGATATGAACAGGCCGCTCGGAGCACTCGTGTTTCCTATGTCTCCAGGAAAGGAGGAATCCATGGGGGTTGCAGGACTGGTCAAGCAAGCTCTCGTTTGACATGTGCACACGATGAACACAATGCGAAAAGGTTGCCCAAAGTATCCTAAAGTATTCAGCCATTAAAGCACCACCAAGTGTAACGTTATCTAACTCATTTCTCATATTGCGTTGTGTCCTGCATAGACTTTGGCTGGCGTCGTGGAGAACCCTCAAAGAAATGCATTGTGTTGGTGACAACAGAAAGGCAATATCAATGTTTGCTAGGTGACAACACTTATGATTGCCTGTTCGCCCACTAGTGCTAGCTGGAGAGCAGCTCTCTTGTGCAACAAAAGTCATCAACCACTGAACAAAACCATTGATTGATCTTACTTCTAGAAACGCAAGTCCAACCTGCATGGCTTGAAGACTTGCAGCAGTGCGTGCTGCCTGACTCAGTGCTCATTAGTTAAGTTGCTCTTCCATCTTTGGCTGCTTCTTCTGCCTGGAGGAACAACACAAAACCAATCTGCAAAACCACAAACTTCAAACAATTTGCACTGAACTCAGAAGTACAATGGCTCGAGTCTCCTGAGGTTGCCATTTGGGCCATTCCGGACTGAACGACTGAACGGACTTATCAATCTACTGGACTACGCAGCACATTGTCATATTTGCATGTTCATGTTCCATTGAAAGTAGACTAGACCTAGACAGCACAGTACATGATATCATATGACTGTATATCCTCTCCATTCTGCTTCTGCCAATCATTTCCCAATCCAACTGATCCTGCCACGACACTGCGCTCGCGCGTACTGGAGTGATAAACGCCACACAGGTGTGGAATCAAGGTTTGTATAACAGTCCTTCTTCGACCTGGAGTTTTCCTCTGAAAGTCTCCATAGTCCATTTATTATGCATTTTTTCCATCGAATCCAAGACCCTGCCATTGCTTTTATATGTTTTCATATGTTTTTATTTTTTAAAAAATCATCTTTCCGAATCTTTCCATGATTTTTGCTCTGTCAAATCGGCGCCTCGGCAGCTCGCAGCTTTCGTTCTGTCGCCTCTGCCTCCAGCCGTGCTGCCTGCTCCATTAAAAGCTCCAGCCGCTCCTGCAATGCACAGTTCACCTCAAGATCCTTCAAGTATCAAATCTATCAATAGATTCAATAGATATTGGCAGAGTATTGGAGATCTGCCCGTGGTTTTTTCATCTACTGGCCTGCACGTCAATACCTGTACTTTCATGACATTTTCAAATTCTGCATGGAAGGTCTTACAGCAGACCCTGCCATGGTTCAAACAAGCTGGAGGCCAGGTCAGCTTGCAGGCTGGTTTGTAATTACAAAGGAAAGACACCACCACATGTTGATAACTGATAACCAGCAAAATGAAATCTGCGGGAAAACTGATTGCGACAGCCTGATAACACCGCTACATACTGCTATATACTGCTATCTAATCCGGCAAAACCCGATGCACCAAAAACAAATGCGTACATGCGTCCCTTCAAACTAATGCTCATCGGTTTCTAAAGTGAAATTTGTGATGAACAAATATGAATTATGAACAAACAAATTTCAAACCAAATTCAACAAATGAACTCAACAATTTCAACAAGCAGCTCTTATGGATTCTTATGGCCTCATCAGCAGTACCTTCTTGGGCCTGCCCGGAAGGAACAAGATCTCTGACTGTCCAAGAGTTTGGAAAAACGTTGGGCAACGGGAAAGGTTTGGGAAGGGAGAGGCTCGCAGTGCCGTCATAAGATGTCATAAGACATTTGAGATCAGTCTCAAGGCTTTCACATGCTTTCGACATCGCCAGTGCATGCCAGTGTCATATAGTGCTCGCAGCACTCTTGCCGTCAACATACTCACCTATTTTGGAACTAGAAACCGAAGATAGGTCTGAGACTGTGGTACAGTTGGATGTAAAACTCGGAGGACAAACATAAAACAATTTGCGTCAAGTTACAAAAATCATCAAATATCTACATGATTCTACAGAAATTATGACTTTACGTGTATACAGTATGTATCTACGAACAGGACGGCCTCCCGAAGCACTTGTTTGGCTTCCATGGCTGCGTGCTCGCTTTTTGCCGCTGCTTCCCAGCTCTCCTCCTCAAATTTTGTGGCCCGCCGCAGAGACATAGATTCATTGTACTGTAATGAACGAAAATGTGCGAGAATACATACCCAGGACCCAGATTTAGGATTCCTTTTCAATGTTTTTTATAAATTTGCAGAGGGTGCCGGAAGCACTGATGAGACCGGCACAAACAAAGACACTCATCAGTTGCCTGTGATATCGATGGGGACGCTCACCGAGGCACCTGCACATTATGTCAATTTCGTGATGGGCAATGGCTAACCCAAGAACCACCTTGTCGCTTTCAGTTGTCATGCACGTTCGTCGCAATCTGTGATTTATTGCAACAATCTTTTCAAAACAATTTGACTTCAACTGCGCTGGCTATGGCGATGGTAGCTTCTTGATACTTTGTTGGGTCTCTTCACCGACCCATTCCTGTCAGGTGTAATGGAAACGTTTTCGCACGTAAGATGCATTCCACAAAAAATTCGCAATGGTAGTTCTGAGCAAGTGTGTTACTCACGTCGGTTCGGCAAGATGTCGTGAGCCCCTCGGGGAATACGTGTCTAGGTAGGGTGCTTGATCCTTCGACTTGATCTCTGAATTTACACTTTTAACCTAGTAATTCGTCTAAGTAAAGTGTAACAGCCGGCCATTTTTCGCTTCTCACCGTGTCGAGTGTCGTTTTTGTTGAACTGCTGCTCGCTGTTTGGGGACTCACCTTTTTTGAATTCAAAGATCAGTAGTTGTCAGCTGCGCCAGCCTTCCTTTTTTCAACGTTGCCCGAGAGAGTGATCAGCTTGTCCCAGCAAGTGCGACATGATGGAATGTCCAGGCAGGTTCACGACTTTAGGTGTGGTTTTCTTTCTCTTCATGGTCTCTGGTGAGATTCAATTGCGCACCAATTCGCAGGGTTGACCACGTAAGCCGTCCAGAGGGTTGTGACTTGAAATTGGAGGGCCTTTGAGCCTGAACACGAGCTTTTGCACTGGTTGGTGGATGCATCATACTCTTTGAAATGTTTTGTAATTTGTAATTGTAATTCTTACACCTGGCAATTTTACTGCCGGCCATGTTTCCATTCCCGTGGCCATTTCGACCATGGATGAGCTCTTCTACGCCAAATCCTGGCCAGATGACGGCAACAATGTGGACCTCCATGGCAAGTCCAGGTCTTCCAGCACCTTGCATGGGTGGACGTTTCAGTGGAGGTGACCCTCAGATGCAACAACAGGCGCCGTCCCAAGCTCAGATTTCATCTTTGCAGCAGCAAAATGCTCTGCTCAATCAACAACTCGCTACTCAAGCTGCATCCCACATCCACCAACTTCAACAATTCCTACATCCTTCTTCATCATCACCTAATCCACAGATTCCTGCACCATCAGAACCTCCACAACCGAAGGTTCAACCGGAAGTGAAGACTAGCAGTTCACTTCCAATTAACATTGAAGAGATGGTCAGAAGTTCCAGGAGGACTTGGTGAACACTCTCAAGAGAAAATTCAAGACGCGCATCCACCTCAACCCCTTCCGACACCACCTCCTCCTACCATTTCGTCACAACCACTAAGCACTACGGGCGCCACCTGGCGTCCCACAACCTTCCAACATTCCAAGATCACCTGTCCCAGATCGTCGTTCTCCCCCACCACGCCAGTCCACGCCAGGGACCACCACCGTGAGGGTAAACGACCTGTCTCCACCCATCGCAATCCACCTCGTCGACGTGCCAGGTCGACCCATTCCATGCAGAGTCATCGACAGCCTTCGCATTCACCATGAGAACGGTCTCTCAGGTTACGCTCCCGGACGAGAACACCTACACCACCTCGACGACCTTGGAATGAACACCACTACGGATGGAAATCCCATTCCTATTCCAGTTCTCAATAGATGACTCTCATTATGGTTGGACTTATCCTAAAGATGCCAGCCGCAACCAAGACCAACAATATGGCTGGACCTCTGGTCAATATGACCGATGGGACCAATCCGGTCACCACGACAATTATGACTACAACGACCCACAGTCCCATCAAGTCCGTCTCCATGCGGTACAGTCCACTTCCAAGTCAAAGCCTATTACGGCTTATTCTATTCCACTGTGAACAATCTTCCAACCATCCTCAACATCATTCCCAAGGCAAGAAGAAGCCTTCTCGCACTCCCTATAAGCCTGCGTACACTCAGAAACCAGGCGAATCCAAAGATCAGAAATCTCATCGTTCTGACCGTGAAGCTCCAGTTCAAGAGGGCGAAGTCTACCGTTTGGACTCCTCTCATGAAGAATGGATCTCTCAAGTACAGTTTGCGCTGAACCACAGATCCAGGATTCAGGCGGCTTGTGAACTTCCTGACAAAAACGTCCACGACCGCTGACAACGGTCAACGAAGCCTTGCTTGAGTCGGCTACTCATACATTGACCAGCCTCAGACATCCCATCTCACAAGATCAAGCTGGTTATCCATGTCCTTGTTCAGTCAACCTTTGTCATGCAAAGGTTCTCCACCTTCCAGTTGCCAAGAAAAGCGCCTTGGTAATTCCGATGCCAGCGTTGGAGAGAGCCTCGTCCACCTTTCGGTGGAAAAACCAACCACACCTGGGCGCTGATCCATGGAACCTCAGTCACTGGACGTTCAACCCGGATCCCAAGCAGAGCTGGCTTCCAACCTTTGGAGCTTACACTTTGGGGATAGAGGTTGCTAGACCTGACACCCAGGTGCCCCAATGGGCAGCCTTGGATTTGATGGACAGAGCCTCGAAGAAAGGGAAGGGTCAACTTCCAATACTCATTGGAGCCCTTTACAAGGGCAGAGAAGCCCATGTGAGTCTCAGTGCAGGAGGTAACGACATGGCTCAGTCTCAGTTGAAGATTCCCTTGGTGGGGGTAGTCACCACGTCAGAAAAGTACACTCTAGTCGGGCCCTCAGTCAGATTCCAAGGAACCACCGGTGGAACCACTTCCACTAGGTGTGCCTGCTGGCTCAACCGATCAAGATGACGAACTTCCAGATTATACCAGCTGATCTAGCCTCGCGGCAAGTTCTCAGAACCGGATTCTGCTTTTCTAGGATTTCCTGGACAACCAATTTTGTAAAAGGTGTCGCAGCACTGTTGCCTCAACCTGTGAAACCTTCTTGTTTGTGTTTCTGAATGCTTTCTTTCTTTCTTTCTTTCTTTCTTTTTGTTTCTGCACTTGTTGATGTGTCCTTCTCATTCAAGTTTCACTGCTGCATACGATGTCAGTTTCATTGTTTTTCACCTTCTCATGGCACTATGAAATTTCGTGTTTCTTGAAACTGTGGTTCTTTTCTTTTTCAATCAATTGAATTTTTTGATTTGTAATGAACTCACGGGATCTTGAAGATGTCCTTTTGTGGAACCATTTGTTGCACCGCCTGCCACCTTGCCTGTTACAGTTATCACAGCTGACTATTCAAGTGCGCACGAGGGTTGAAACCATGGCCGACTCTGACCGCTCTCGCTCGCCGTTGCCCCCTCGCAATCGACAAGAACAGCCAGGGCAACGACAGACAGTCCCGTGCTTTCCCAGATGGTGTGGCCCTATGGGCTCCGCAGTCCGGTCCTTATCAGCCATGCCATGACCTCAGAACGTACCGAAGTGGCCACCGTGCCAGCCGGGACCTTATGGGATGGGACGTATGACTCCAAATCCTCCATCTCTTCCACCGAGCTGGACTATGCCTCAACCGTTTCCACCAACTCCACCGTCCATGCCTCCACCACCCATGTTCCCTGCCTCTCAAGCCTCCATCACCTTCTCAACCTGGTCCCATTTCACCATCTCAATCCAAACGCCACCATACCTCGTCGCTCTCCTTCCAGCTCTGGTACAACTGAAGCTTCCAGAGTTTGTGGGTTTGGCCTGAATGAAAATTGGCAAGGTGATTGGGAACACTACGACAACCAGAAGGTCAACGGCTTGACCTTTCCCAGAATGATCCGGTCTTCAGCCTTCACTCAAAAGTTAGACATTGAAGGTTGTGATCCTCTTGCTCTACCCGTAGCAGCCTTGCTCTACCAACAAGCCAACAATCACTGGCTTCAGAAACTGGCCCATGGGCGAGAGATATATTTCATCCCTACGGGGGATATCGCGGCCGTGGTGTTTGCGACGGAATTGCTCTCTCAGTTGAGGAATAGAGGGATCGACCTCGACCGCGTCTCTCAGGTCAGGGCTCGACAGGATGGGAAGACACTGGACAAAACCTCAAATACCAAATTTGCGGCACTTCGTTCCACCGACCCAGATTCCCAGCACGAAATCACTTACCTCCGAAGTCAATTGGCAGAATTACGCGAACGACTCGGAGACGACCCTTCAGATGTATCCACTCCACTTCGCACGGGTCAACAAAGTTTCTCTTCTCAAACCACACCCATCCAACGCGCCTTAATGGGTTCCGGAGCTCCTGCACCACCTCCAGCTTTTGATCCAGCTTGCCTTCTTATACACCTTCTTACCATTCTACGTCTTTCCAACAATTGGCTCACCGACAACCTACCAACGGGCCTTGCCGATTGTACTTTTGCAAAGTGGCTCACAGACCCCCTGTCTCCGATGCCCAGCGCAATGCTCTCGTTTCCAACATTGCCAAAGCTGACATGGTGGTCAAATCAACTTGCCGATGCCGTTGAAACAGTCCAAAAGGTCGCAGTGATGATGGGCATTCTTCCAATTTGTCAACTTCAAAAGAACTTCAACGCCACGAACCTCATCAAGGTTCTGACGGTGGCGATCAGAATGACCAATTGACCAGCTCCACTTCTCCGGAGGAAACTCAAGCACAAAGTCCTTCAATCCCATCTTCATTTTCTCCCTGCGATGATCCTGGTAGTGTCCATTTTTTGAACTGGACCTCAGATTCTGGCGTGAACATCAGAACCTCTATGTCTGGGCCCCAATCCCTCTTTTTGTTCGTCGTGCTGACTATCGCTGCCATGGAACTTGCCTTCATACAGCAGTACCAACCCCGGCTCAACTATCCCTTTACCTGCCACTTTTTCCACCCTCGAAAAGGGCTTTTGAAAAAACCTGCCATGAATACCAATGACTAGCCACACTCTGGCATCGCGCCAAACACAAATTCACGCCACAGGTGGTCAAAGCCATCTAGCTTGGCCTCTGACCGGTTCCAAGACCATCTTGAACTTTGGACGATCATCCACGCCTTAGGATCGAATACCAAAGCCCGGTTCGAAACCACCAAGATGTTGCGATCTAGTTCTGGTGGACTTACCGGACTTACCCTTTGCTATGCACTCCGTCGTCTTAGCAACAACATCCAGGAGCCCTATCGCACCCTGTCCTTACAGGCAATCGATGCATCCATCCATTGGTGGAAAGGAAAGCCAGCTCCCCGTGCTTCCGCCTTGAGAGCACCGTGGTCCCTCAGTCCTGACCTTCAAAAGTCTCTCAAACACTTTCTCCGCCAATGGCACCTTCAAGTCTTGGCTCACCAGGTCCCTTGCCATGCCCCATCATTCAAGACCATCTTTGTCAAACATGCCTCGGTTTTGGACCAACTCTGCAACCACAAACAGGCTGTTACGACGTGGTCTACCAACATCGACGTCGAGTGTTGCTGTAAGAAGTGGTCTCAGTGCAAGAAGGCATCCCTCAATCCGAGTGATCCCCATTGGGTCCTATCAGGATCCCTCCTTGCAGGCCTTCTTCCCCCAGAAATTGCCGTCATTGCTGAGTGCTCTCTTTTGAACAAGGTGTTCCCTACGAAGAAAGACTACCAAGATCTACCAAGCTACCCTCACCCAGGGTCTTCGTGCATGGACTAAGCGCAATGGCCTGCCTTCCATGCCCACCAACCATATTTCCGACCTTGTTCAACTCCTTTGGCAACAACACATTAACCACTTAACTCACCACATCACCAAATCCACCACCAATTCCCTCCAGTCATCTCCAGTCTACGTTTGACGGAGCCATCTTTCATTGTGAGGACAAACACGCTTCGTCCTTGCGAAACTTTTGCCCGTGTCTCTACTTCCAAGCCAGTGAGACAACTTTCATGGACGCCTCCATTTTTGAGACGGCTCACCAGAACCCACAAGCCCTTGTAACCTCGTTGGTCTCATCTTTACAGACATCCTATGGTCGACCTTATCCCTGGGCTATTGGAAAGGGACGCCAGCTCCCATCGGGATACATTCTGGCCAAAAAGAAGAAAGCTTATCAAAGCGGACGACCTATCATGTCGTTCTCCCCATTTCGGCCGATGCCCAACATCCTGGCCTGGATGATTTTTCAACTCATCCCAGTGGCCTGCCCCAGCCATTTCGCCTCTGGAGATGTTTACACACTCCTAAGATTCTTCAAGAAGCTCCAGTCAATTGCGATCTCACCCTGTTCAGCCAGGATCTGGCCGTTTTTTTCACTATAGCATCGACCAAGCTCGGTTTTTGGGTGCGTGGTATATGCTCCTCGACTTCCTTCGTCCTCACATGGATGTTGGTGACAACGAAGTCTTATCCAGGCAAATCCAACAATCCTGGTGGCCTCATCAAAGGTCGCACGTTCCGACGCCTCAACGTCACCCGCAAGATCGTGATTAAAGACGTACCGTCTCTCATCAAGACGGCTTTGGACATGGAAACTTTCGCTTTGGGTCCCAGATGCGTCCGTCAGCGCCGTGGCAGTCCTATGGGAAGCCCCTTATCCCCAGCGCTGTGTCTGATGGTAGTTTCCATCAGAGAACAAATTTGGTCCACACTCATACCTTCAAGATCTTTGAGTACGGCAAGCGCTCGGCCGAACTGATGGTGGAAGATTCATCGGGACACACTTGTGTCCGTTCCATGGAACAATTCTTTTACGGAATCGTTGGTCATGTTAGATCGGCATGGATCTGCAGTTGGTGGCTGGCGTCAGGCGTCCCAATTGGCCAACTACTGGCGTCGCCATTTTGGGGTCCCAGAAGATCCTCATCCATACCGCGACTATGACACCCTAGAGGGAATTGAGAACACGGATGGGCCTTCCTCTGTGCTCCATTCATCGCAGCCTCCTGTTCCGATCACTCAGCTGGCTTGGCTCCTGCACAGCATTTTATGTCAGGATCCACAGGGCAATGATTTGTCTAATACTATTTTACAGACTTTGAGCACGGCAGCACGAACCTCATCGTCAGTAACACCCTTGAGCTCGGAGTCCCTGAGCCATGATGGTCTTGCTCAATTGGCTGGACACCTGGCAATCCTATCGAACGTCCTGCCCCAACAACGTGCTGCAGCTTCTGAGATTCCTGATGATCATAGCACGTAGATCCTAAATGTCTTGCATTGATCCGTGTCCAGCGGTGCATCTTTCAAAAAAGCCCCACGACAGCGGGTCGTGGGGCGTGTGCGTGAACCATCTGAAGAGATGTAAAACTTCTAATTTAGGGTTCCTTTTCGATGCTTTTTATAAATTTGATTAAATTTGCAGGGGGTGCCGGAGGCACTCATGAGACCGGCACGAACAAAGACACTCGTCAGTTGCCTGTGATATCGATGGGGACACTCATCGACGTACCTGCACATTATGTCAATTTCGTGATAAGCAGTGGTTAACCCAAGAACCACCTTGTCGCTTTCAGTTGTCATGCACGTTTGTCGCAATCTGGGATTTATTTCAACAGTCTTTTCAAAACAATTTGACTTCAACTGCGCTGGCTATGGCGATGGTAGCTTCTTGATACTTTGTCGAGTCTCTTCACCGACCCATTCCTGTCAGGTGTAATGGAAGTGTTTTTGCACGTAAGATGCATTCCACACCAAAATTCGCAATGACAGTTCGAAGCAAGTGTGTGCATAGGCCCGCCTAGGTGGTGCACACCATTCAGGAAGTCAGAAAATCCATTGCAGTCCAGATCCAAGCCATTGCAAACATTGAAGTTGCGGATTGATTTTGAAAATACGTGCTTGCACAATTTATTTCTTCTCATCATCCATTTGACTGACAAAAAATTGCAACTCCGGACTTGGTGGCAGCTACGCTATGGTGCCGCCTCGACATGATGATGCTTCGCCAATTCACAATCGACGTGCGAACTGTCATGGAAACTCAGACTGGTGACACCTGGTACAATCAAGCAAACTGACGGACATCATGCGTGTATGGACCTGCTTTGATGAAATCTTAAAAAGCTATTCATTAGCCTGTTTCCAGGCAGATATATTATAATTATTATATAGGAACCTTAAGGGACGAGATTTAACTTTGTATGTCCAAGTTTATGTGTTGACATGAATATGAGGAGTGACTGATCCTTTGCGAGAAAGGGATGGGATGTGCATGTGTATACTCTTGTGCCCTGGACAGTGGAATTCTTGACTCTTTATGATTTGACTTTGACTAATGATGAATTGTCAGCCCACTCCATCAATTCTAAACATCAGGCAGCAAACATTAAACCACCAGTCCTGCGCACCACACACCTTGTGCCCAGTGGCCTTAGCCTGTCAGGGAACCATGACGGATTCTAGATCCAAACCACAGTGAAATGAAACCTCTTGAGCTTTGAAGTAGCTCAACGCTGAACAGCAACTGGGCATGCCTGCCTCCAGCCATCTCCGTGCAATATGTCTTTTGTCCTGCTGCAGTGGATTGATGCAGCAGTAGCAGTAATACAGATCAACATGGCGTGCATTTATTACCTCGCATTGCCAGTTGTATCTTGAACATCGGTGATGATGACCGACCAAACTGTCGGAAAGAATTTCGGATCTTTGCAACCACAGCGAAGACAGGGTAGCGGAACTGCTCTGTTTCTATCTGCGCGATGGCCGCTGTGTGCATTTTCCTTAGCTTCATGGAGAAAGAGCTTCTGATGACCAGCACCTTGTTGCTGTAGCGCAGTACCTGGACATAAACACAGCAGTCGAAATGCTGACAACGAATGCAATTACTGTATGTCGCCGATCACAGAGTATGCCAGCAAAATAAAACTCCGTACAAACGCCAATCTGCGAGGTTGCTTCAAAATTCTTAACTAGACAGCAGTGGGCTACAATTCCAAGAATACTCATTTTTCCAAAATCTGAAAATGGGTGCTGGTTGGGCGGATGATTTGTGAGCCACCCTGCCTTCCGATGTGCAAAGCAAAACAAGATTCTTGGGATCTTCATCCGACACAGTCCTTGCTTGGCTGGAACCAAAAAAGACACACAGCAGTGTGAAGTGTCCATACCCTCTCCACTATGCCATTGGTGTCTATGACGAAGTAGATGTCCGATGTTCAGATTCATCCATAGATATGATGATATGAATTGGTATGATATATGGCACAATGGAATGGCGATTCAAAGATTCCCCTTGCTTTCCAAACATCAAGCACCAAACGTGTCCGGAACGGTGATACGTCATGATATGTCAAAGACAAGGGTCTGATAATTGTATGCTTCGCCACAGAACTCCAGTGTCCCATCCTGCCAGGTACGAGCTGGTAGATGCGGGCTGGTACGAAAACAAGACATCATCTACCAAAAATATGCCCGTCTGTTCGATGTAATTACAACGAAATACCATCATATACCTGATGGTACCTGGACATACTGTGGTCATTTCTGGCCGCATTGGAGGTACTTTTACCATTACCAGATCTGCCTTCAACCAGTACTTCAACTCGTGTTTAGACTAAATCCGAACGTCTTCCCCCCTTCGAAGGGTCCTCTGCTGCTGGCAGAAAGGTGGTCTGGAATCTGATCAAGAAAAAATAGCGTCAAGGAAGCAAAACAACCCTTTCCAGTCAGCGCTGAATCTTCGAGAAATCGACATGTTCACAGAAAAAAATATGATTCGAATGCGTTCAGGCTGATGGTAGTTCGACTGTTGGTTGTTCTCGAGGCGTGCTTCCTGCTTTTGTTACCTTCATGTCAGAGACTTGAGGTAATCAAGGAAAATGCCAACAGCAATCAATCTGTCTTCGTGGAATCAGTTTTTGTTTTCATATGTTGCTGCGCGGTCAAAGCCCTTGGTCTCAGGGAAACTCTTTGCCTAATGCTGATCGCATCATCAGCATCAGCATGCAGTGAAGTGTCTGCAGGAACACCTCCACCAGGCATGATACAAAGTGTCGGGACAATTCAGTTCCTAAACGGTAAACTTGTAGTGTCCTCGACACTGCACGCAACTCACCATCCTTTCCAACCCCGAGCAGGTCTCAGAGCATGAATGTTCCAATAGTGGTCTTGCTGTTGACTCTCTTCGATCCACACGCCCAGAGTAATGTACAGTAATGGTAACCAACATGCGATCGAACCTGCGTAGGCACCGTACTGATGAATCTCCCGTAGGTATTGCCGCAAGGAAACAGCCTTGGGCTCCTGGTGGATGCAATGGCTTGGAAGTGTCACAAAAAGGTCAAAAAGGATGTTCAATATTGTTCAAGGATGTTTAGGCATGTTTAGGCAAGCATCTCTGTGAATCCCACCAGTCTCACTGGGCACAGGTCTGTCATATTGGGACTTTGCCTGCATGCACAGGTCGAGACTACATCTAGGCATGATCACAATTCGCAACGCTGAAGGAAAGGTGCCGTCTTGATCTTGAATTCATATCTAGCCATATCTATACTTCAAATGCATGTATCGCTCTTCGGCTCTCCTTATCCTTCTCAGTTACGAGGACAGTAACGTCATCTGCTGAGACTTTTCCCAGCCTCCGGTCAAGCACAGACAAGCACAACTGTACTTTGGTCCACTACAGTAACATCAACAACGTCAACACAAGGACTTCAAAAATACTTCAGACGATTCGGATGCTGAAAGCCTCGCAGCATGGCAGTGTGGCGCACCTTTCGTTCCAGTTGGCGCCTCGCACGGTGTAGAGGGTCTGGCCGCTTCGCTCCACAAGCCTGGCAAGATCTGGCAAGATCTGGCAAAATCTGTACTGCGAGTGCAACATCAGCAAGGTGAAAGTGGAACATCGGTAACTATGCGCAACATTATGCAACTCCGAGTGGGCCCCAAAATCCTTCAAAACTCAAAATCAATCAAAATCATAAATCCATTCCCTGGGTGGATATGATTCAAAGATTCATGGAAGCTCTCAGATCTTTTTCAGTTGCCCTGACTGCCTGGAGTCTGTAATGTTTGGTCCAGAGCAGCTTATGCCATTAGGGCCAGATGAGCGAGCGCAGTCGTCCCACGAGATCGCCTCCCAGCGTCGTGTGCTTGCAGAGTCTGTTCATAGAGGCCCTTTTCTTTAAACAACATGTTTGTATCATGTTTGTACATCTTCCATAAAGTTTGCACATGTGAGCAGAATACTCAATGATATTGATACACATTACGTTGCATGCCCAATCTAGATGTATGTGTGAGTGATCTATATGCTCCATCTAGACATACTTTTGACATCTTCTGAAAGACTACAAATCATCAAGAAAAAACCCTCCTTCAGAGGGGGGAAAAAACCTCGATGCAAGATGCCCGTGGGCAAATCGGTGCCCAAAAAACAACGCCACACATGAGAAGCATGACGCTACAAAGAGCCACGTCAGCGTTTGCTGAGAAGCAAAATTCGAACGCCCCTCAGGAGTAGAGCAAACAGCAAAGTGCAAGATGAATCACTGCCGAAGGCAAATGAGAAAGAGCTGCTATAGGCATAGTGTCCAAATGGGTAATGACCAAGAAGTAGCACTACCAACAGAAGGCACTAAAGTCACAAGCATCGGGAGCATACAGAAAGAATCAAAGTACTCATGGTTCCAAGATCAAGCCAGCAGCCACGCCAGAAGCAGGTGTTGGAAGTGTCCCTGTCTTGCGCCGCTGGCGCAGGGCGTGGCCAGCGCCGTGAGCCAACATCACTGCGACCTGCTCGGAAAGACGAGCGTACACCTGTGCCAGGTTGTCACCCTCAACGATGGCAACGAAACCACCTAATCGGTGCATAAGAGCCCGCGTCTCCGGTGTACTGCCTCCATGGATGTCCCACACCATAGGTAGGTAATGGATCCCTGCTTGGAAACATTGGTCCGCAGTTGCGCCTGCTTCCAGGTCTGCCCATGCAAGGTGAACCCTGTCACAGCGCAAAACACATCGTGAAGGGCCGCATCAAAGGCCTGCATCGCCGCCGCGCTATACCGCAGCGGGGTAGTGCGGGCTAAATAATCCATCCACCCACCAGTGCAACACCAACGCAGCAGATAATATGCTACTTGCGGGTCACCAATGCCACCTATCAGCCGGGCTGTCGTGGCTTGCTGGGCCGCCCGTGGCAAACAATACGCTTGGCAAAAGGCATCATCCCCTACAGGTGACTTCAAAACTTCATAGTTGGCATCTTCACAAATAGTGCATCCCAAAGCCAGAAAGGGTCGGAAATCAACCTGGTGCAAAGTGCCAGCAGCCGGAGCAACAGAGGACTGAGAAAGACGAAGACCAAGGTGTGGCAGGACAGGCGACCAATGCCGAAGAGCACGCAAGACCTCCGCCGAAGGCAGCATCTGCAAAACAAGGGGCCATGTCCAACTGGGCCCGGGGCTGTACCACCGGGAGAACGACCCCAGAGCCGGCGGGAGGGTCAATCAATCCCAAGCTCTCCAGAAGCAGCCGCTGCACCACTGCGTGGCATGCTGTCCTGAGTGGACACCCCTGTTGGCCGCCAGCAGCCGAACGGATGATCACTTTGTGGTAAAACACCTTGGTGTCAAGGTCTGTAGGATAGATATACTCCAGCCACCTGGATAGCCCAGGGGCGACCTCTTGCATCCGTGTCAAGAACACATGCCGATCAACCGCATTGTGCGCATTCCCCTCATCATATGACAAACACACCAGATCGGTGCCTGCCAAATAATGCTGGCGCCATTCGGTGAAGATGTGGCATAAATAACTTTGGTTCAGGTGGCAAACCGACCGCAAGTTGATGAGGAAGCAGGTCGGCTCGGAGAGCAGGGAGGTCACTGCGCAGTAGCGCCTTGCCAACCAAGCGCGGCACCGCTTCCCCAGCACATGAGGGGCGAACATCAGCTGCACCAGCCTTGCTGGTTTTCTCCAGGGCGGTCCTGCGAGCACCCCCTAAGTAGGGGCGTAATGCAGCAGGAGTCTTGCCTAAGCAAGTTGACAAGATCGGTGAGGGCCTGTGCCCCATACTGTTCATCCCCCAGTATCCACAATCTGCTTGAGAAAGTCTGGCCGCATACCTGTGGGGCCTAAGGCAGCTCCCCGAGGAAAAGAGCCTCTGCACAACTGAGCTCATTGGCTGGAGGGGTCGCCGGCCGGAAAGAGCCAGATTGTTGGGGAGGAGGCGGCGGAAACTTGGCTTGCATGGCGGCTATGATGGCTCCAGTCGGAGCAGCGACGGCAGCCCCACTGAGTTGCTGTACTGCCTTGCCCGGCATGCCCGCCGAGCATATAGCGGCCCTGGCTAGGCAGGGGGCGGCTCCGGCCAACCACCAAGGCCCACCGCTCCGCAGCGCCCCCCGACCTTGCAGAACAGGAAGAGTTCCAACCAAGCAAGGCGACGCCGTTTCCGCGGTATGGTATCCGCAGCGCCGCCGGGGTCGACCCAAGCATCAGCCAGGTTGTCTTGCAGGACCGCCAAGATAAAGCGCAAAAAATCTGACTGCGCAGTCGGTAAAAGAGCAGAGCTATAACAAAGCCCCGAGTGCCTATGGGGGCCGCAAAAATGTCATCGAGAGAAGGCAAACTCTGAAGAACTTATCAAGGTCACCATCAGAGCAGGACCCAGGCAGGTGTATTGGAGGGGGGCGGGCCGCTACACGGTCGCCTGCACAGGTCCGGTACACCCCTCCATTGCACCTCCGACTCACCAGACGAGAACACTCACGGCAGCTGACCATGTTACGTGCTGGTAGCCAATCGGCCGGCACGGCACCAGGGAGTTGCCCGAGGATGTGTGCATCGACATAGGCTCGCAGGCCAGCAAAGTTCTCCCACCCAGGATGCGCAGAGTCCGCGGCTATGCACCCGGGCACTGGGCAGTGCAATGGCGCACATCCATAGGCACATCCCCGTCATCCGCCAGCTGCATAGGGGTGTCGACGACCCCAGCAGCCACCACGACACGAGGCCGCTCCCCACCAACAGGAGTCCCTGGGCTGGCGGCATCCCATGGCCAGATTCAGTCTAAATAGATTTCCGACAGTATCTTCTGAAACAAAGGCATGTCCTTCCTTTGGCCGTTCATTGCTTCTCAGGAAAAAACGAGACCTCTGACCTCTACAGAACAGGCTCACGAAGATCTCAGGGTCATAGTTATAAAAAGACCTGAGTTTTTTTGGTCTTTGCAATAGGTTCTCTGCGAAAAATAAGCATGGGCCAGCGGTCGGCTGCTCTAGCAGCCAATCGTTCGCACGCAGTGACTCCAGTGTTCCTGCCTTGCAGTTGTAGCGTGCATAGATCCCTCCAGCATCCTGGCCTAAGGTGCACGTATACAGGGTACTTATTGATACTTGACCGCCCTGTGTCCTAATATAGCGGTTGTTGAACAACTTGGTAATACTTATATATTGGGTAAGCGGGACTCTTGGCATGTTCCACAACCATGCTCAGGGAGTCTTGGGAGGTGATACAGCTGCTCAATACTTCACAATCACATCCCAATCACATGATGCATGTGGTGGACGTGAAAGTACGTAGAGTCCCTAGAGTGCAAACTTATTCTGTGTACTGAACTTGTTATCTCGAGTTTCGAAACTTGACATCAGCAGCAAACAGAAGTCCATCAAAGGCCCAAACAAGACTGATTGATTGCAGCAACGATCTCATCCACAGGCACTGTAGTAGCCTCGCCTCAGCCATTGGAAATTGCAGATTGGTCATTTCATTTCTTTAAGCAATTTCATCTTGAACGATTCTCCCATGCATCAATTGGAGATAACGACATTCGATTTGCAAAAGCATACAGCAGCATACCTGTAAGTATTGTTGCAACATCTGCTTGTGTCCATGAGACGATAGGCATGTCAAATCCACCTGGGTTCCACAGAAGAAACGCTAAATGCATAGGGTCTGAATGGTCGTTAGTGCTTTGCGAAGCAACCTATTACAATACAGCTGTCACTGTGCAAAGGTGTTCGAAACAACAGCCGCCTCCCCTGCGCCATCCCCGTCACTGGGTTTTCATGGTTTCTCAGTTTCTCCATGCTTTTTCCCCTCTTGCCTGCCACCAGCAAGAAATGCAAGGGTGTCTCAGCCGACTGGATGATCTCCGTTTCGTGCAATTTTGTGGCGGAGTCGGGCGCGAAGAGATTGAAAGAAGCATCCTATGTGATTGAGTCCAAGTCAGAATGGGTGGCCTTGCGATTTTCAATCTGCATTTAACATTTCTCAACCTGTGTAAGCACCTACAGACCAACATGAAACGGCCTGATACCACATAGTGCATTTCATGTTCAATCCTATTCGACAGTCCAACTTTACGTGCGCCTGGGTCCTTTGGCCATTGTGAATCCTCCTGTATTTGCGGAACACCGTCCAAAGTAATTGTATGTATTATTAATTCGTGTATGTACAGTATTGTACAAGTAAATATATTTGAATATCAATATGATGTTCATTGATGTTCTGTAAGCAAAATGCAAGCATATGTAGATCCTCAAGTCTTACCAGGGTCCAAATGCGACACAATGCGCTGTGTTCAACTCCTTGTACTTGGGCCAAACTTTTCGCAATTGTTCTTTCCTCAGCGCAAAGGCCAGGGAGGAACCTTTCTTATCAAACTCCAGGTCATCTCGGCCACATGTTGGCAGCAAAGGGAAGTGTGAGACAATCAAGTGATCATCACCAGTGGTTCAAAAACAGGCACAGCACAAAGTCCAGGTCAGTCACGAGAAAATTGTATTGCTGAGAGCATTCCATAGACCTTGTATGCGTATGTAGAATTTTGCGAGTGAGTCCACCTACTGATCACTATTGCTTCGCAACGGTTAGACAAAGTCCACTTTTCGAAGGCTGTGATTAGTTATTCTGTTGTCCATTGTGAAACTTCCTGTTTACATTTGGCTTTCCCAGAAGCTAGCAGGGCGCTATGGATGCTGCGAGGGACAAAAGTTGGGGGCCGGGTGAACCGGGCGGGAAGGTCTGTTTCCGATTGTTTACGTGCACTTGAACTCGCACACAAACCTGATGCCTCCTCAAAAGAACCACAGAGATGCAACGGAAGTTTCGTAGAGAAACTCCGAGTTGCGGAAAGTGAGCCAACCCAGCCTCACATCTGCTCAAAGTCACCCTCACGCAACCTAACATTCACTCAAAATCAGATCTTCTTAAAGTCGCATTCACACAACCTCACATTGACCAAACATGGGACTCACTCAACCTGAGATTTAATCAGCCTCACTCACATACTAAGCCTTTTACTTGCTTACTCGACCAACATCTTCTCAACCCCGCATCCGGGCGACCCCACTTTCACTGAACCTCACATTCCCTCAGCTCATGTAGCATCTAGGGTAGCTCTGTGTGCTTGTGCGTTGGTCTTTTGTAACGCTGTCAGACTTTGCGCGGCGGAACCGTTGCATCAAGATGAGATTTGGGAGGTAGAATTTATGCGAAACACTTTGCTACTTCGAGTATACGTGTGCCGGTCGGGGTGAAAAGTAAGCTGGGTTGCCTGTGATTGCGGGCATCAGCTCGGAATGGAGGAGTGCTGGAAATGAGGCATCCAGGTGATTGCGGTGAGTTTACATTAGGGCTGTGCGTTGCTGTTTTGCGTGTCGTGTTTGCTTTGCGCAGTGGAACTGCTGCGTCGGAGGTTGCGCTAGTGTTGCGCGCGGCTGCTATTGTGTTTGGCATAGCCGATTGCTTTGCGCAGTGGAATTGCTGCGTCAATGCTACTGGTTGGCCAGATTCTGAAGTTTGGCGCCTTGCATTTTCCTTTTAAAAGTCCTTGTGCAAACAGCTTCAAAATCGTACTGGAGCCAAGAGAAAGAAATGCCAAGAGATGTTAAGAGAAGATAGAGAAAGAAGGTGAAGCGACACTTGGTTGGTCACAGCAAAGCGGTCAAAGCTGCGGTGACTCCTAAATGTATAAATTTGGAATCGACAATTCAAAACACTTTTCTCGCCTATGAAATCAAATGCTCTTGAAAAGAGTCGTGCCTAGAGTGACTCCTCTTGAAAGACCACGAACATGCTCCTGTTAGATCAATGACTACTGTAATGGAGCGCTCTAGGATTTAGATGTGCGAATCTGGACCTTGTAATTACTGTTTGACACTTTTTTGGTGCCGTATGTTTTTTTCGCCCTTTGAACAAAGTTTATATGGAGGGGTGCCTTGCCAAGACCAAAAATCAAGTATGAACTAGCGACTAGTGAGAAAGTACCTGATAGGATATGCGAGTCTTTGCTAAATTCGTCGAGTTTCAAATCTGAGATCCTTGAACCAGGCAGGAGCTTGATCTCGGCTGTCTCGCCCGAAACCAGGGACACTGTGACGCTGAGTCTGCTTGAGTCGCTAGCCATTGTGAATTTGAGCCGCTGCAGAATAAAGACCCCTGAGCAAAACTCATGTTTTTACACCTGTAACTGGTTGGAATTAAAACATCCAAGTGTTGTCTGTGGATCACGCTCCATGGTCTAGTAGCGCGCATGGTGCAGAGTGCTCAACCTAATTCCAATTCGATGCTTGACAATAGGCAGAATAACTACCGTCTTCAGTTTCAGATTTGGCTTTAGAATACTTTAAACAGCTCCACCGCAGATTCAAGCTGGGCATTCAAAAAGCCGTCACTCCGGGGATTATGATCTCTACTTTGTCAAGGACTTGAAACTGCAAAGTGATCAAAGACTCGCAGTGAGTCTATCAAAGCTTACAGGCAGCCGCACAAACATGAAATGTGAAGTGGAGTAGGTGCAGATGGCATAGTTTCAGGAGTTGATTGACCATCCCGAATTGATGACACGCCTTCATGGAAGTTTGGCAGGTTTTGACGTAAGGCAGGTAGCAGTTCTGGAAACCACTCCTCACGCTCAGGCTCATGAAGGTTACAAGAAGGAGACTAGACTGTATATTGAGTAATAGTGTATCATGCAATGCCATAAAAAACTGAAACGTTCTGACACAATATCTGAAACAATATGTAACAATAATATCCAATTAGATCACTTAGTTACGTCGCACTGGGCTTGCCACTCATCCCCTGATCATCCTAGTGTGTAAAATGTATGCGTCAAAGAAGAATTGGCGAAGTCTTTGGCATATAAACATGAGCCTGATGACAAAAAACAACGCAATCAAACAATATCAAATATAGTTGCGGGCACGTGCTTAGAACCTGTAGAAATTTTCCAAAATGTTCGGGCACTTAGAGCCTCCCCAGGTGCTAAGTGCGAGTCCGGCTATGTTAGGGGGGGTTCTAAGTGTGAAGTCCCCCAACCATTTGCCTCATAGCCTATCATTCCTATAACCTGGCAAAAATATATAGCATAATATGTTCAACATAACTATGATTATAAAACATACTATAATCGATATAATGTGGAACGAATCACATTCTTTTACTGCTAGGCGGAGCAGCGGTCACTATATAAAAATCCTTGGTGGTCTTAGCCACCTAGCCATCCCACTCAGAGGCGGCGTCCATCACCACTAGTCGGCTGGTGCACGTAGAACACAAAGCCACGGTCACAAAAATATAGCCCTTATCAAGGAACATGTTGGCACTTCAATCTGGGAATACTCGATCAGTGTAGGTTGTCACTTAGGAGGCTCTTAGTATGAAAGTCCGCATCTATCTGCCTGGTTCCCTGCCGTCCCGTGCGCATACGCAACATCTAATCTGATCTATAAAACCCTTATGAAGAAACATATTGGCACACCAACCTGGGAAGATTCTATCAGTGTAGGTTGTGATTTAAGAGGTTCTAAGTGCGAAAGTCCCCACCTATCTGCATGGTTCCCTGCCATCCCGTGCGCACAGGCAACATATCTAATCTGATCTATGACTCTTACCAAGAAACATGTTGGCTCTCCAATCTGGGAAGATCTTAATTCTACCAGAGTATGCTGTGATTTAGGAGGTTCTAAGTGCGAAAATCCCCACCTATCTGCGTGGTTCTGCGTGGTTCCCTGCCATCCCGTGCATATAGGCAACATACCTATATAATCTGATCTATAACACCCTTATCAAGGAACATGTTGGCACTCAAACGTGGGCAGATTATATCAGTATAGGTTGTGATTTAGGAGGTGCTAAAATCTGATCTTTAAAAACCTCTTGTATCAAGAAACACGGTGGCACTCCAATTCTATCACTGTAGCTTGGGATTTAGGACTTAGGAGGTTCTACGTGCGAAAGTCCCCACCTATCTGCATGGCTCTGCATGGATCCCCGCCATCCCGTGCACATAGGCAACATACCTAATCTGATCTATAAACATCTTATCGATCTGCATTATTCCGCATTGTTCCCTTCCACGCCGTGCACATGGGCAACATCTAATCTGATCTATAAAACCCTTATGGAGAAACATCTTGGCACACCAACCTCGGAAGATTTTAATTCCTGTGATTTAGGAGGTTCTAAGTGAGAAAGTCCCCGCCTATCTGCCTGGTTCCCTGCCATCCTGGGCACATAGGCAACATACCCAATATGATCTATAAAAGCCTTATCAAGAAACATGTTGGCACACCAACCTGGGAAGATTTTAATTCCTGTGATTTAGGAGGTTCTAAGTGAGAAAGTCCCCACCTATCTGCCTGGTTCCCTGCCATCCTGGGCACATAGGCAACATACCCAATATGATCTATAAAAGCCTTATCAAGAAACATGGTGGCACTCCAATCTGGGAAGATTCTATCAGCGTAGGTTGTGATTTAGGAGTTTTTAAGCGCGAAAGTCCCCCCACCTATCTGCATGGTTCCCTGCCATCCCGCGCACATAGGCAACATACCTATTCTAATCCATATTATCGTTACTGAGAAACATGTTGGCACATCAACCTGGAAAGATTTTCATTCTACCAGTGTAGGTTGTCTTTTAGGATGCTTTAAGTGCGAAAGTCGCCGCCAAACTGCCTGGTTCCCTGCCATTCTGGGCACATAGGCCACATACCTAATCTGATCTATAAACGCCTTATTGAGAAACATGGTGGCACTTCAACCTGGGAGGATTCTATCAGCGTAGGTTGTGATTTAGGAGGTTTTAAGTGCGAAAATCCCCACGTGTCTGCTTGATTCCCTGCCATCCCATGCGCATAGGATATCTCATATACAATATATATATATATATACATACATATAATATATATAGATAGATAGATAGATCGATAGATAGATAGATAGATCGATAGATCGATAGATCGATAGATCGATAGATCGACAGATAGATAGATCGATAGATAGATAGATAGACAGATAGATATAGATAGTCTCCCATCACCAGTCTATATAACCATTATCCAAGCATTATCAAGAAACATGTTCGTGCTCCGATCTCAAAGTGTAGTAGTCAAAGTATGATTTCAGAGGTTCTAAGTGCCAATCTCCCCAACTATCTACATGATTATAAACATATGTAAATATTAACTTATATTATTAAAGATACTTATGATTGGGAGAGGTTCTAAGTGTTTTTTTTTTTCTGAAGCTATCTGCATGATTATAAACATATGTAGATGTTAACTGATAACTTTAAATATCATCATGTCATATGATAAGGTTCTAAGTGCAAGGGTTTCGGGGTTCTAAGTGCGAGTTTCTCGTGTGTTGATTTTTATGTTAAATTTTCCAAAAAAGGTTCTAACCACGTGTCCGCAACTATAAGATCAAACAGTATCAAACAATCAAGCAACTAAGCAACAACCTGTACTGAAGTATGAACAAATTTCAACCGACGACCAGAAAGGAGTCATCCAATCTCATAAAATGTCTCTTCCTCTGCTTTCCAGCGGAGCGCAGTGCCGGCACGCATCAACCGAATGACCTGGATTGGACTGGTTTTGGTGGCAGAATGCCTGGGGTCACAAATTAGAATTGCATGGCTTGGCAGGCATCCATCCATCCATCCATCCATCCATCCGTCCTACTTTCTTGCTTCATTCTTGCTTCAGAAACAGTATGAAACAGTTTTCATGTCAATCTTTTTGTTTCCCAATGAAATACAATGATATCGCAGGGCTTCTGGCCCGACGCGGAGAGGCTGTAGCAGCCAAATCTTGCAGTCGGCCTGGAAATTCAGTGCCACATGAGTGTGTTCAAAAGTCTTATATAAATATATATATACACTGTACAGTACAACGTTTATTTTTGAGAGGTTGCCTCAAGCAAAAAAAACTGCGCAGGACTGGCGCATTTGTTACATATCAGTTTCGTTGCAGAATGGTGACTCCTACGATCCTCGATGTGTCTGACCTTGCCAGCAGCATCAATCTTTCATTTCGTGCTCGCCGAATGGTCTTCATCTCATCATCCATTGCAAGCATCTTACCACCAGAATGATTCTGCTTGGGACACCATGTGGCTTCCGTCAGACTTCCTGCAACATGCTCGTGCTCTAGGATAACTTCAACCCGAAAGTGGACCATCCAAATCAGCCTAAGGTGCCATTGAGCAAATAATTGTCGGTGTAGCCGAGAGTTGCAAAGTGGCCTTCCAAAGCAGCATACAACGAGACTGTCCCTACATGAGCACACCCATGGTTCTGATGCACTTTGCACAAGTTGTGATTTCACATACGAATTCTTTCGGGTGTGATGATGATGCCATATGCCATATTACTCTTGCATGACTACTCGTGTGCTGCCAATCATTTGAATGAACGTCACCTCAAATCATGTATGCAATCATAACTTAACACAACATTCAGACATCACTTGTGCTGGGATTCTGCCGCCGACACAAATACGATTGCAGCCTTTCGATGCAAACAATCCGCGTTTCTGCTTTGTATCGACAAATAAGTCTTGTTGCGAAGGAATTAACAAGACATTGACCAACAAAGAACAACCATCCTCTGTTAACCTGGCTCAATCGACCTGACCCAAACACATGGTGGTTTCATCTCGTCTCACCGTTTGGAAGTTGAAGGAATGGGAAAACATGCGTAGTCGGCAAGCTTAAAACCCAACCCGGAGGCAAGTTTCATCTTACCAGCAAAAATCATTTACGCCAAGACATCATTTCTTATGGGAAAAAGGAGATTGGCGAGTGGATGTGAGGGGCTTTCAATCCAGGGAAAAGTAGAAACTGGCTCACCTACACGTGTCAACTAGATTGAAGGCTACTAATTAGTTGTCTCTGTCAATAACCCAAAATGACACATAAACTCGATTTTCATTCGTTCTCCCTGACCAGTGATTTGTGTGACTCATGATTGCCAAATGACATGGAGGCCAGGCTCAAGCATATTCTCAGGAGGATCACTTGAGGCCGCGGGGTGAGGAACGAAAGTGACAGGGTGGGTACAATCAGACATAGAAACTGGCTTCTTCAACCGTGATATGAGGCGTCAAAGCTCCACCTG